TTAAGTTGGGTTCAAATTGGGTGATCTTGTTTTGTTCTACGTCAGGGGTGTTCTATGTTGTTCAGGCCAAGGACCCCCTGGCCGAGTGAGAGGTGAGCAGGGACTTAAACTGGGCCTACGTTAATGTGTAGAGCAGCCTGCAGTGCCATGTATAAACATACCTTTATATTGTGCATACGATACTAAGCTATTAAAATAATAATTATTAACAGATTTATATATTTATATATTATGGATTCATAAGGATTCACAACACATTCTCACTCCGACCTCGTCACACATCGACGTTTGGTCATGGACCTTCCATGTCCAGATTCAATGTGAAAGGTACCCTGGGTGCATTGGTTGTCAACATTCTGGGACGCTGTGTCAAGTTCTGCCTGTTACATGCATTGTCTTCTTTCAGAATACACTTCTGTATTCACAGGAAATTTACCGTTTACATACTGTCTCTTTCAAAATAAATGCACTGCATCGGCACGCAACACAGATGGTTAGGATTAGGCAACAAAATCATGTGGTTAAGTTTAGTAAAAAAGAATCGGGTTTGGCTTTATAATCTTGTGGGATGCGAACACCACTCTCCCGGGTGAAAGTCCTTGGTTAAGTGGTTACGTTTAGGCAACAAAAGCATATGGCCGGGTTAAGGCAACAAAAGTACATGGTTAGGTTTAGGTAAAAAGAACAGGGTTTGGCTTTATAATCTTGCGGGACACGAACACCACTCTCCCGGGTGAAAGTCCTTGTTTGTTGGGCCTATCCACCACCCCTCCCACCTGTCCCTTGGGACTTTTGCTGCCTTAACTGTCGTTCTTGTCCTGCCGCGTTTCCCCCTGATGCTGCTGAGCGCCTTTAACTATAACGGCGACTGGCCATGTATCATGCCAGCGATAAAGGGCAACTTTTTCATCAGTGCCTGATGCCGCAATCACTGCCAAAGGGCTGGATTTCAGCGACTTCGGAGTGAGACCAGGTTGGGAAGGTTGAGATTCATGGTTAACACATTAGTGTTGTGTCCTGTTTGAGATTTATCTTTGCTAACAGTATGTTGGATTTATGTTAATGTATAATTTCAGACATATTTCCATAATAATAATAATAAAAAAAAAATACCAAACAATAATTTGGTGGTTCCCCTGTAGAAACTCTGAGAATCCCTAGGGGTCACAGACCCTGTGTTGAAGACCCAGAGTTCAGCATATCTTGAGATAACATGGTATGTAATGTTGGCTGGGGCTTTATTTATTGCAACATGATAATCTTGATAAAATGTAATTTGTTAAAAGGTAGTTATTTTGTTTTTTTTAGCTGTCTAAAAAAGAAACCTCTCCCTGATTGTTATCATTTTCACATGATATAGAATTATAAATATCACCTTACAGCTCAAATAATCATGCGAAAATACTGTAACATTATTAATTTCGAAATGTTTATTGAAAGTATCATGATTATGCTAGAATTATATCCAGGCAGCTTAATTACTCTAAGATTTTTTCTTCCAGGGTGAGACAAATACAAATGAGAAACTGATCTAAATTATGGTGTAAATGTTATGATATTCTGAAAATAGTCCAACAAACCATCAAAACAGATGTCATGCGTCAGACAAAAGCTTCAGCAGGAACAACAATGTGACCAAAGCCCCCACTCCATGTTACACAAATGTGTCTGTTAAACTGTTCTGCCAACAAATCAGGTTAACCTGTTAATCTGCTGTCCATGTCTGAGTCTGAGGGGCTTTACACACAATCAATATGATGAGCCCTCAACTGTCCACAAACTAAAGACACTGTCCATGCCATTACTGCACCACTCCAATCTGACACAAGTGCATTATCATTACCATCAGGACATGTGATAAAGACCTGACACATGGGTCATGATTTTAAGATCTGTAAGGAATGTTCGACACTTTGACTTTGAGGTGTGAGGTAACCTTGGAGTTGGACAAAGTGCACAGTCGCACTATCATGTTAGCATCATAGCCTGTATAAACATTACACCGGACTCCCCAGTGATTCATTAAATAAAATAGCTTACATTAGTTGATTAGGTTTATGTTATAGGTGGACCACAGACTCTGGGCAGATGGCTGACCTCTATATTAGTCTTTACCTTGCTGTAATAAGTTAAAACAGACTGGGGGCTTGTTTTTGCAGAATGGCGTAGACCCAATCCAGCAGGGAATCAACCAGACCACCTCAGGTTAATCTCGCTCCAACCTGAAATGCCCATGAAGGATTAGGCCCAGCCGCTGATTGTTAGCACACAAAGTCAGTTACTGCTGTGCTCATGCCATTTAAAAGTCACAAACAAAGTCTAAGAGTATCAGGAGAATGTTTATTCTGTCACAGAGCTGACACACATGACTTTCTGATGAGATGAGATTGCGACATGTTTACAGATTCATAGAATAAGATATGGAGCTGCTTTTTGGAGAGCATTCAATAGGACAACTGTACAACTGTACAATGTGTCTGCTTTCTGTGTGTACAGTATACACACGGCATGCAGGACCTACAGCCACTGACACTGACATTTGCATGTGTTGATTCAAATGATTCATACGCTGATTCAACCAATAAGGACAGAAAACATATAATACACATATTTATAGGTTGTTTTTGATGATTGTCACATGAAATCAACTGAATGTAAAGGGCACTAAAGCTACACACAAACAGAACTGGAGCCTACACTTCCCATAATGCAACTCCATAGTGTCTTGTCTGGTAAACACTGACGTCTTTCAAGCTACATGCCTAATTTACAACTCTGGGTTTTTGTTAAACAATGATAATAATTTTGTCAGACTTGCCAAAGCTCTTTCAAGGCCAGAAAAGACATGTGACTGTTTTCACATGCATTTTTTCATATATTTTCCTACAATAATAATTTTAGATTTTCTGGTTTATGCCCAAGTATTGCTATTATGTACCTTTATTTGTCAGTCTTTCTATTTATCTTTATAATCAGATTTGTTATAGCGCATAAATACATTTTGCCCACACATTTCCTCATACTCAAGATGAGATGGATAATCTAAATTCTCTGTCACACAGGCTTTGTCCTCAAACAGGCTCTACATGGGCTTAAAGGGGTTCAAAGCCAGATGCTTCAACTCTCTGTCGTGACACTAAAGTACAATTCACACCAGAATTGACACGTCAGCGGCGCATAAGCTCCATAGAAACATCCATTCGTCCAATCCACATCAACTCCGACCACTGTTGTGGCTCTCGCTGGCCCATCTGTTCTGTCAGCAGCTGTGATACTGAAAGGACCGCAGACCACCTAACTATCTTCAGTACAGTATTTGTCTCGGATCAAAGTGTTTTACAAACATAGAGACGTGGATGTATTACTGAACAGACTTACTGGTCACAGACCCAGGGGCCCAAAGTGTTAGTGGGCCCCCTGGTCTTCATCTGGAAAATGTCATAAGCCTCAAAATGGCCACAAAGGGTTGCAAAGGAACTGCAAAGGGACACAAAACAACAAAAAGATGTGTAACGACTACAAAGCGATGCAAAACAACAACAACAACAACAAAGAGGAAAAAATGCAAATTCTTTTTTTCTTGTTGCTGTAGGAGAGGTGGTGGGGCCTTATGCATATCTGTGCTACAGGGCCCATTGTCTCATAATCTGCGCGTGCAGGGCATTCAGTTTTGGTGGCCTCTGAATGTCACTTCAGTAATTCATCTTCCGTAACTGCTTATCCTGTTAGGGACCCAGCTGACATTGGGTGAGAGGCGGGGTACACCCTGGACAGACTATCACAGGGCTGACACATAGAGACACACAACCACTGACACCAACGGGCACCAATAAACTTAGCCTGCATGTCTCTGACTGTGGGCTGAAGCTGGAGCACCCAGTTCTCCCATGCTGACACAGGGAGAACATGCAAACTCTGCACAAAACAGCTTCCCCACCCCGAATTCAAAGCAGACACCCTCTTTCTGTGAGGTGACAACATTAACCACTGCACCACCGTGCCGGCCTGAACAAGTAGCCTAAAATAGTTTAGGCTATCACATACCTATTGGTTGACAATCCTAACTCCAGGTCCACCCATTACCTTTTTTCCCGAGCTTTCAGTCATGGTCATCAGTGGGTGCAGCTTGTCAAGTTGTCACGGAGTTGACAGGTAAGCTCATTAGCTGTTAGGATTTTATCTAGAGCTAATTTAGGTCTTTTCATCTGTGGATTAAAATTTAAATAGAATAGTTCATTCTTGAGTTTGCAGACAGTTTGGCAAAAACAATCTCAATTTAAGGTCCACTTACTAGTTTAAATTAGTGTCAAGAATATGGGTGACCTTCATGTATTGTCTACTGTTTTCTCCCCTCATTCTCACTGAGGCTTTTGTCCACAGACGTGTGTGTGAGGCCTTGACTAAAACCGTTTTATAGCAAGTTGATTTGAATTTTAAGTATTGATTTAGTCTGCATCTCTCTGATCAACAAGATGCTCAAAGGGCTCAGACTGTCAGTACTTTCAAAATGTGGGGACTTTTTGTTTTTAATTTAACCTTTATTTAACCAGGAAGTGGTTGAAAATATATTTTACAAGACAGACCTGGCCAAGGTAGCAGTCATTCAAAACACATTTAAAATGCAACAAATACAACATATAATACAAAAATCCACAATAGAACAACAACTATTCAAACATAGTGGCCTCTCGTGAAAATCAAGCACGTCTCTATCACCATTTATGCAATTTAAGTGAATTAGAGATTCAATATTAAACCACCTTAGTTTTATCAAGACAGATTACTCAGCAAAATTCAGTTACCTCTCTTCTGCTCGGTCATGAACTCTGACACAGAGGTCAACTTTACAGCGCGGTTACTCGCCATACTGCAGAGCCTGCTGTACAATGCCGCCTCCTTGTGGCGAAGTCAGGCAGCACCAGTTTACAGCAGCTCCCCTGCGTTTGCTGTTTCTCACTTTGGTCCCTCGGTGCCACCCGTAGATTTACGGTAAAGTCAGACGTGTATCTCAGCGTCGTACAGGAAGTGTCATACCAAACAGTTGAAACATGAATGAGTCTTATGAACCAGCGCTTGATCGTAACTTGATTTCCTGAGACAATTTACTAATGAACTCACAAGAGGATGTCAACCGACTTAACTTTAGACTTCGAAAATCACCAATATCCTGTGATGGATAGCGAGGCAGACTTCATGTCCATCGACCAGGGAGGAGAGTGGGGTAAGCGACGGTTAGCTGGACTTTATAGACAGAAGGCAACAGAGGTACCGTTAGCTAATGCTAGCTACCGTTTGAGTTAACAGATATAACCAACAAATGTAACGTTACCACTAAAATACAACTGCTGTGTCAAAAAACACTCGTACAAACCTCCGAGGTCAGTGTGACACTTGTGTTTACATACGCTTCAAGTCCAAGCTAATGTAGTTAGCATTAGCTAGCTGTACATGATGTAATGATGTAACAGTTAATGTAATTTAATAGCGAGTGATATGGCCGGAGACAGTACACACAATGCACTTGAATGCCCTGGGCCACACATGTAGTACACACTGTGCTGAAAACATGTTTGGTTGTGTTTGTTTTGGAAGAAACTGAAGCGTCACAGTTTTATTATTTTTGTAGTGTGATGTGAGGACTGTGTTTTCTATGGTCTCTTTACATATTCTTCCGCCTAGCAGACATTATCCACTGGACTACTTTTTTATTCCCCCGTTTTTATTTAGTTTACAGCAGCTTTTCTCATTTGCAAGTTCATATCCAATGTTTAATTATTATTTATTTATTGATTGAAATGTTTTTATGGACTTTCCCCCATCACTTTATTGCAGTTATATATGTATCCCTCGAGCCCATTGAATGTGAACTCAGGGCATTGCTGCAAAGGAGCTTATCTGTGACTGCAAACACTTGCTGCTGGGATAATATGATATCTAATATCAGTCTCTTGAGAAATGGACTGAAAGCAGTGTGACTATATGTTGTGTTCTGTATGATTGTTGTTACACAGACATCAGCCTGTTCGATGAGCTCGACAACCTGGGAGATGCGGATGATCTGCTTCAGGCACTGGAGCATGCTGGCTACGTGAGTAACTCATTTTCTCTATATGCAAATGTATATTGTCAAGGGAGATTGAAAGCAATGCGCTTGTGAACAGTGGTACAGAGCTAGCGATGCAGGTGCATCCTGAGCTTACATGGTTACACAGTTATGTAAGAACACGTGAAACAGGCACAGCAGCACCCCACATACACTGTGTAGGTGTCAGGCATCATGTAGGCAATAAAAAGAATCTTTACAAGTTTTATTGACTGATTTTTGAACACTCGAAGCAGCTGTTTTCTGAGTGTGGCAGAAATGCCTGGTTCAGAAAAAAAATAATAAAGTGATGATGTGCACATTGCTTAGACCAGGGAGATTCAACTTGCTTTTCCTCTGGGGCATTTTGCAAAATGAAAGGAGACCATTGAGCCATTTGCAGCAACCCTGCACAGGTCAGGTGTACGCAGGGGTGTTTCTCAGATTTGAGGACAATTGGGACTTAGCCTGGACCTCCATCGGCACAATTTCTTTTAACAAACAAGCTCTGTTTTGATGCTTTTTATGCACCCTGGCACAGTGTCAGAAATTAGCAAGGGCCATGGGCCATTTGGCCCGCAATTTATCCAAGAATGCCCCCAAAAGCCATGTTCCGGGGGCCAAAATTGCCCCCAAGTTTTCGAAACAACTATATGTATTTATATTTTTAACAGTATTACAATCTGACATTAGTAGTATAATTAGTATGAAAAGTATAATTTTATTTTTATTAAATTAATTTACCATCATGTCTACAACTCATTTTCCAGACATAATCAACGAGACTGCACTGATTACGTGAGAGTAATCTGACAGAGAAGGGGAGGGGGCTTTGCTGTACCATAAGTATAGATTAACCATTTCTTAATGACAAATTAAGGTAGAATGAATGTTAAATTTTAAATTAACTTACTTCCAGGATTGCATGTAAGGAATTTATAGTAATTTAGCCTTTTTAACAGTAAAAGTAACTGTAATGTGGTGAAACATTAGTACTGCTATCAGTAGATTAATGGTTAAATCATCACATTTAAACTGGTTGAATTATAGGAAATCTGAGTGATATTTTGCAACCATAACTTTATGTAACCCATTATTTATTTCATTTAGTGGTTTCTACTGAAGAGTGAAAACACTATCTTAGTTGGTTTTGCTTTTCATGTGCTTATTGTTAGAACATAATTACAATTTTTTGATGGCCCCCAAACATTTTGAAAATGCCCCCATTTTTTAGACCGTGGGGGCCAAAATTGCCCCCAAAATATTTTGTTAATTTCATACCCTGCCCTGGCACCATATTTACAATTAAAGAACAACAACCACAAAAAATCCCAGTGTGCATCAACGTATTTTCACCGTAAATTCGAAAATGGTTGGCAGGTTACTGTCACCTATCGTGGGCCAAATCTGGCCCTTGGGACATAAATTGAGTATCACTGGCTTAGACTGTTGATGCAGCATTTCCTCTGTTTCTGTCCACTGTTGAAATGTGTGTGTTTGGTTTCTCAGGCCAGTGAAGCTCCAGACCTGGACTTTGATATCGACATACCTCCGTGGAATCAAGTGGACACAAGCAGCACCTGCACAGGTACGCCAACATATGCCAACATCTCTTGCTGACATTTCAGATTGAAATGGGGGAAGTCTGAACTGAAATAAGAGTGTGATGTCCATCTGTTTATTATTTAAGTGATGTAACCCACGTGATGTGCAGCTGCTGCACAGTGATATCCTGGGACAATTTAATAGAACATTCTTAGGTACAATGTTGCTGCTTTGCTCGAGATGCTTTAACTGTAATATACCATTGATGACTGCTGAGAAAATGAAAATGACTTTTTACGAGAGATCATTATTATTTATTCAGGCAACATTTTTTTTACCTTAATTGGACTATGTGAATTTCCCTTTATGCACCTGACCAGTACCTAAAGAAGTTGGATTCTGTATATTATTGTGCTTTACGTTTTATTTCTGGTTGTGGAAGCCGCGCACACCACAGCACACTGTGTGCTGCTGCTAAATGACCTTGTCTGTGCCTCTGCAGACTTTTGCATTTGTTGGTTTTATATATAAATCTCTGCTTGGGCTGGTTCCTTCTTATCTGTATACATACATGCATAGAAACCAAAATCAAGATGGCCTGTGCTCTCACAGTATTCCACAGATGTTGGTCCCAAAGGTTCTAACAGAACTGGGCAAGCAGGCTTTTAAACATGCTGCTTCCTCTTCCTGGAATGAAGTACCTGAGGGCTAAAGACAGTGGGGGAATTATAGTCTGTCTCAAACAATTGAGAAAATAGCACTCTTGGTTTATGTGATTGCTCCTGAAATTTTCACTGAAATCCTTTTAGAAAATTGTATATGTTTATGCGTTATAACTGTTTTTTTTTTGTGTTGCATTTTAATAGGATGTTGTTATTGCTCATTTGAGGTGTGTGGTAGTTGTATTTGTCTGCTTATGTTTACTGCTGTAGCAATGTTAATGCTGCCCTCTGGGTCAGGTTGCCCTTGAAATAGAGATTTTTAATCTCAATGAGACTTTAACCTGATAAATAAAGGATATAGATATCTTTTAAGTTACCTGCCTTTCAGAGCGTTTACTAGTAGTTCTTTATGTCTTGAAAAATGTGGGGAATTATGAGTAAATATAATTCTGATGACTTGCTATTGTTTATTCAATAATTGCATGGCTGATTTATGCTTGCTTTTTAAAGATAGCATGTGCAGCTTATGAATTAAATATGTATTTATGAGAGGCAGTGGTTTATGCCAGGGTTAGGTTAAAGGATAGTGTGTTAGTGTTGTGTTAATGTATGGTAATAACACAGGGACCGTAAACCACATCCGCCTATGCTGATAAGCCCACAGATATGACACACTTCTCTGTGTCTTTGTCCTTGTGTATCCAGATGGTGAGGTGAGCATGGACTCTCTGTCACCTGCCCACACTCTGAGCTCTGTCCCCTCTCCCTCCTCTGTGGAAGCCCTGTCCCCGTACTCCATACAAGTAAGTCACTGTCTTCGACTTTTTGTCCTTCTCAGTTTTCAGCATTTGACTTGAATTTCCAATGCAAATGTTTTACCATTGTTATTGGTTGTGAGTATTTACATATGTGCCCCCTCTTGGTGCGCAGTCGGAACAAATAAAAGCTCCATCCAGATGGTGTCCAAACATTAACACCTGCTCTTTACTTTTGGATACACACTTTAGACACTTATTAACAAAAGCCTTAAACACCTTGTCAAACTAATAACTCGCTGCCCATCTGAGCTGCGCCCCGCCCCCTCTTTAAAGAGGAGGTGCTGACAACTTCAGCCACATTAGCATAATTTAGCAGGCAGATGTTTTCGCAGTGTGTCAAAACAAGGACAAGGGTTACATCTTTGTCTAGCCCCAACACGGTCTGCGCACATTTGTCTACTAACTGAATCACCCTGACTAAATCCAAGGACACGTGTGTCTGCTTGAGTCTTTGAATTTTGACAAGGACACTTGAGTCATTTTTTATCTCATGTGACAACCATCATATTTCATCAGATAGTGTTCCATACTTCCTTGGGAAGTTTGTTGATGACGGCAAGCATCGCGATCTTAAAGCTCCTAAAGCTACCCTGATATAATGTTTTTATTAGTAGGTGTTCGGATGACAAAGACAGTGTTAAGCAGCAGGAGATAAAGCAATTAAACCTTTATATGAGTGTACTGTATTTACACACAAGTCGTCTGTGCTCCCCTATCCAGGATGAAGCCCTGTCCCCACAATGGCAGTCCTCTCCAGTGTCACTCTGCTCAGAGTCTGTCGTCTCTCCTCCTGCTAAGAAAGCTCCAAAGAGGACAAGCCAGACCACACGAGGTAAGGCAGCTTCCACCACCGCACATCTGCTCATTCAGATGTCTTCTATATTTGTATGCTTTGTTCCAAAACCAGGGGAAATTTTGCACCACACTCTGGGTTTGTAGAATTCTGGGCTGTGAACCACAAAACAAAGATAGATAGAAACAGTCTCTCATTAGAAAGACAACAATTTGTAGGAAAAAAACCCTGTAACTTTAAATACAAATTTCCTCACCTGAGCCTAGATTCATCCTGTTTTCTTATCTCATTCCTCCCACCCCCATCCCCCGACACACATACCAGCCAGGCAAACTCAGCCAACCAAGAGGCCGATTCAGATTAGCCCGAAGGTTTCCATCCAGCCGAAGCCGCTGATTACAGCTGTGCCCCTGGCTCATGCGGCAGCTCCCCTGCAGGCAAAGACAATCATCATCCAGCCCCTGCAGACCACTGTGCTGCCTGTGGTCAAACAAGCTCCAGTCAGCATCCAACCAGCGCCCCCCCCAGGTCAGAGCTCACACTGCAGCACATCCAGACACATTGCCTCACATCACACTGTATTGCATCAGACGTGTGCACTGGATTTATGAGCAAGCAGCATGTTGTTCTATATGGAGAGTATTTTGTAATTCATTTAAATGTAGAGATGACATGATTTCAGTAGTGTGTGTCATTTCTGATGGATGTTGTTGTCATTCTTGCTCAGACAGTACTTTAATTGTTGTGTCTTGGCCAGCAGATGGTGCTCTAACTTTAGTTAATCCTCGACAGTGATCTTCAGTCCTCACTGTCCCATGATTCTCTGTTTGATGGTCCACTAATTATAAGCAAATCAGACATTAAGATGTTAGCTACTTCCTTTTTGTATCCTAGATATGTCCAAATTTGGGCTACATTTGTGGAAGAAAAACAATGCTGGGCATCAGCGTTCATAAATGTAAAATTAGGAAAGTTTGTTTTATTATAAACGTGAGCCACAGACTATTTATATTCTGCTCTGTGCTTTTGTGTGTTTTGTGCATTATAGTCGTTATTATTTTGTTTTGTGGTGTAGCCTGCCTGGTTTACCAATCTGGTTACATCAGCAGCGCCTATGCCAGTGTAAATACTTATGTCACTGCTTTGGACCCAAGTGGGTGGAGTATGTGACCTCTCTCGACTCGAATTTGAACTTGGCTCTCCTGTCTGCCTGGTAATAGCCAAGATGGCAGATGTCTACCGCCAAGACATCCAAGTTTAGGACCCCAGATGGAAGTCAAGTCAAGCCTGCTCAGTGTTACGAGTCTCTTTGGTTTAACATTTCTGAAATATTCACAGCTGAGGAGTGAGCCCTACGCATCATGCAGATGGAAGAAAGAAATTTAAGATATTTACTGATTAGATTTTATAGAGTCTGACCGGTGTTTCTAAAGAACAAACAGGCTGACAGGTGCTCCAAAGGCTTTTAATTTCTTTTGACTTTCATCTCTCATGAATTCCTCTTACAGATGGTGAGCTTGGGCGCAAGACACAGCGCTGGCACCACACACATTCATTAGCAAGACTGGCTAACACTTCTTCACAACTGACACTGACAAGTAGTTTAGTGTTAGAGGTGAAGGTTGCTGGGTCGGTTTGAGGAATGGTTCCTGGCACAGTCGTACTGGGAGGGGTGGGCGACACTCTGGGAGGCTCCTACTTTAACAGCACATTTATAAACACGGACAATGTCGTGTGTGTTGTTGTTTTCTTTTTACATTTGCTGGTTTAGAATGTGGGCCAAGATGCGGGTTTATGTGTGTTCATGCACATAAAACTCTTAACACCGCTCAGTTTGGAATGTGGAAGTTTTAAGAGCACAGGTCGCGATGGTAAACATCTTCTCCACCTGTACTTTACACACAGAGAATCTCGTGAAAGACAAGGGGTTAATGTAGGTCGCTGTGGGGGGGGGGGGGGGGGGGGGGGTTAAAGGGGGTCATCTGCAGGAGGAGGGAATGATGCAGCTTCCAGAAAGTGTCGAATATCAGGTTAAATGTTTTCGTTATTGATGGCAAGACAAATGTGGGATAAGAACATAAACACAAACCTAAGAACAAACTCACACACACACACACACACACACACATAATCACAGTCAGTGTGAATCAATGTTAATCATACAGTAAAAATATGATTATAGTACAGCTAAGACCTGCAATTTGAAAATGTGTATTTGTTGTGTGCTCTTTCCTCAGGACGTCCCATAGTGCTGTCTCAGCCGAGCCAGGTGCTGCAGATCCAGACACCAAGGGCTGTCACAGCCAATGTGGTCGCCATGCCAACGCTCAGCCAGGACATGTCTGTCCCTGTCACTGCTCCTCCAGCGGTCTCTGTCACACTGAGAGCCTCTTCCTCAGATGATGATGTGAGTACATTGTTAAACTGCTCTGAGATATTAACAGAGGGGCGTAGATGAGGACAAGCATGTTAGTGCTGTTACCCTCATTCAAAGGGTCAATGGCAAATGTCTACTTATGTTTAATAAGAACTGCAACATTTGCATTACAAAACATACAACCCCCCCACCCGCACACACTTGGTGCTGCTATTTACACTTCTTTCTGTACATGTTGTCAACCACCCACATATATGTTAACATGCTATATGATCAGGGGTTTCGAGGGGACTTTTAACAAATAAGAGGTTGTTCACTGGGAAATCAATCACGTAAATACAAGTTTGTGAGGTAGTGTCCTACTTGTTCCCAAACCCTACACAGCGCGGCAGGGATGATGTTATTTGTAGGCTGATGCAGAGGTTAGTATTGCCCTGGTTCCCTTGTCAGAAAATCAATGGGATTTTTCAAACAAAGGCAAACAAAGGTTTTTGATATTTACACGTTTTGTTCAGCAAGATAATGTTCAGAAATTAACACTTGTATGATTTTCAAAGCCTAAATGCAATCCCCAGAAGTAAAAGCTAACGCAAGGCTCTTAATAAAATACTCCATGATTGAATGACTTGTCACCACCACAACGAGGCTGTAATGCAGTCATGATGACATTCTGGAGTCTCGTTTAACCACTTGTTAGACTTGTTAGTTGGGTATTCACTGATATATTTTATGTCAAATTTAACGTGAAAATCGCTTAAGCTTGTCTTAATCTCAGACCTTATTTCAGGCATCTAACCAAAAACCCATTTATTTGAGACAAGGGAACTGGAGGTGCAACAATGCTAACTCCTTCTGCATTTTAGGACAATTTCCTGCAGCATTTTGTGGGTCTAAACATGCATCTGATTGCTCAAACAATTCTTGTTAAATCCTTGACATTCTTGTCAAACATGTTTTTTCTATTTTTCTTTCTCTAATCTGTTGCGAGTTTTGTCCACAAGCTCTTCTGAAGGTCGTTCTCTGAAATCTGCTGCCTAACTAAGAATGTGTTCAATATATGACACAAAGCGTCTTCATAGGACTAAACCGTGCCTTTAGGAGTTGTGTTAGTGTGTGTGTGGACATGTGAGGACTTGCCTGTGTGCACTTGTATGCAGCTGCATGCCTGTGAGTAGCCGCATTGGTGTGCATGTGTTTGCCCACAATGTTACTATGATGTCGTGGTTGCCATGTTCGCACTCAGTGTGGACCCTGTCCAACATAAACTCTCTCATCTTACCCTATTTTTAGTGTTTATTTTAATTTCACGAGCCATTAACTTTAATTTCTGTGTAAATTGTGAAAATAAAGTAAAGGAAAAAGTTAATATCTTTTTTTGTGTATGATGGTGGATTTATTTTTCCACTCTGAAGAAAGGGTTATAAAAACGCATGGACCATGTTAGACTGTAAAGACGTGAAGGAGGCCAAAATTTATGGCAAAATGTATGACATCAAATTGAATGATTTTTGCCATTTTGTAAACATGAAACATATGTTTTTTTGGTTGTTGCTACTCTGCTTGATAGATATTTATTAAAAGTATAATCTTAAAATTATGTTGATGCCGGTCAGAATAACCCATGAGCCTCTCTGGCTTTCATGGAGCCACAAACAATCCACAGATGATCATGATTGGCCTCTGCTTTGTTTGTACCTGTGGGGTTTCTCTGGTAACATGGATGTTATGTAATCGTAGTTCAGACGGTCTGAATGGTGTCATAGAAGGACATTACTCTCCATTTGGATGACACAGGGTGGATCCTTCCGTGTGCTGCATTCAGGGGGTGATGTCAGGACAGCTGCAGTGCGCACACACACACACACACACACACACACACAAACAAAGTTAACAAACATGTCTCATGACCTTCGCTATTTCTCCCTCATGCACTCATTTCTCTTGCGTCTGTGTAATGACAGCACAGGATGGCTCAGAGCATTCTGGGAAACTTACAAGGTGCTATTAAGTGCAGCAGGGACGGCCCCAGTGATTTAAAAGTTAAAAAAGAAAACTCAATTATAGTATGTTTTGTTTATGGTACAAACTTGCGGTCTCCCAATAAAGGCCTTTGTGCATGCTGGTCTTATTTTGGGTGGGAGAGCGTAATATTCTTTTAAAGACCTGGGGCGAGTTTGTTGGCCGCTGTTTTTGATTCTCTTGCTCGAATAAACTGCCAATGCCTCTTTCTGCTAGTCTGAATTGTCAGCCTCCATCGCAGAGTCAGAGAGATGCCGTGACTTTCAGCAACTGCAGTGTTGTTTCAGGCGTTGGTCCCCAGCACAACAGTTCCTGACTGCTCGCTCACGTCTGACCTTTGGTGAGCTGAGAAACATGTTCTCACTCCGTCTTGTGTTTGTCTTGTTCTTTTTTTCGTGAGAAAAACATCTAGTTTAAACTGGCGTGGCAGTGAAGTTGCAAAAATGCATGGTTGTTCATAACAGTCGATTTTTTAATTGAAAAGAACCATATGTGTCACATTTGTGGAATGTCTCCTAAATCATTCAGTGTTTTCTGTGGTGACACTGAGGCGACCACAGAAAATGGATCTAATTTTGAGCTATTATCATCTTATAGGAGCAGTCACTGTGTGGCCCTGATGCATTACCCACGGATGTGAAAAACATTAGTCATAATTTAATGTCAGTGTTCCGTTTTACCAGTCAACTCAATTAATCCTGACATTAACGTTATTTTACCATCTGGCTTTTTTCATGATTAACCTCAAACAAAATGATCAGTGTTGTTGTTTTTTTCATGAATGGTAACAGATGACCTCTTTCTGTAAAAACAGTCGTCTTCTAAAAGGGTTCGAGAGGAACTTGTCCAATTATCAAGGGGATAATCGAGTCTGGAGGAGAAACCTTTTCGTGCCAGACCTCTCGGAGAACAATGTCGAGGAATTCCCAACCTCAGGGGCCAAAACAAATACGCCTCTCAGCCATTTGTAAAGTGAACCAAGTCAATAAAGTTTACAATAGGTGATTAAAGGGGAGGGACTGAACACATTAATGGTGAGGGGGGAAAATACGACTGCGTTCTTGGAGCTGAGACCTCTGTTAATTTCTTAAGAGAGAGGTGGTGAAAGTGTTTAAAGGTGTTGTAGTGAGGGTTGGAAAATATGTTTATATTGCAAAATCTGGGTGTCATATCAGCCATGTAATGCTTTAAAGTGAGACTTTGCTAAACTGTAGCCTCAAGTGAATTATAATGGTAATACTAATAAAAGTTAAACAAAGGGTAAGACAAATAGAGCAAAGTCATGAAGTCAGCTACTGGTCGTACATGATCAAGTGAGGCAGTGGCAGCAAAACCCCAAAATGAGTTGAAGTATGCACAGCTTTGTTTTAATTTTTGTGAATAAAAATATTTTAATTCAGCTTCTTATTTGTTAAAAAAAAGTATTATTCCATCTTTTAAAAGTAACACACTGGTAGTCTCGCTGTAAATAGACTTAAGAGTTGTTTCCGTGGCCCACCGAGAAGCTCTTGAGCCGTGTCATGCTGCGTGAATGTGTATGGTTAATGTTTGGACCCGCTGCAGCTGTGTTCACTTTATAACCTCGCTGTGGTTTGGCTACGGCTCCGTGGTGGACTTGGTGGGCCAGGGGATGTGTAAAATGCCTGTTAAAGATGGCATGCTTGTGCCAGGTGTTACTACATGTCGTATCTACAGTTTGTCTTTGTGTGTGTGTGTGTGTCACTCTTCATGTCATTTACAGTATTGTATTTTGGGCTATAGTTAGCCTATATAAGCCCGGGTGTTAAACGGCTGCTAACGATTACATGCTTCAGACAGGTGCTGTGCAGGACGAAGCATTTGCGACAGCTGTAAACAACCATCAGGGATTGGGTCACTGTGATGTAATGAGCTCCTATACAGCCGGGGGTTTAGCTCTGTGTGTGCGTGTGTGTGTGTGAGTGTGTTCTAGACTGAAAAACAGTCCAGCCTGAAATTGCAGGTCTCACTGAATCCTCCCCATTAACAGAATGGGAGGATTTATAGGAGAGAGCCCCAGGAAAGCATTGCGTGATGTTGCATTGAAAGGGGTCCCCTATCTTTAACACAGAAAATTATGCTTTTAATGTCTTTGATTTTCTTCCATTCCAAAATCAGGGAGCTCAGTCAAGTTGAAGAAGAAAAATCAAAGGAGCTTCATTAAAGCCATTATGTTTTATGTCTCATTATTCAGCATGAAATCTCCCATAACATGTGAAGGGTGTAACAACAAGGCTCTTAATCAAATACACCAGTGATTTCAAAAGTTCACCATATGATGTGTTTAAATTCTGCTGAATGTTCAAGCTCCCTGGACTTACAGCTCATGTTTTTGTCGCCACATCTGGTTGTTTTCGTCCTAATCTATAAAAGCTGCTTTTGTGTAATATGATGCAGCAGGAAAACTACTGTAAAAGCATCACACAGGACCCCACTGTAACAAAATGCTATGCTTTCAAGTTGAACATTTGTGTAAAGTAAGGCAGGCAGGCACACCCTGCTGTAAAGTATCCAATGGAAGTGTGACTTTTGTGATTTGTTACATGCCTAAAGAATACCAGTTTCTCCACTAATGGTTGCGTAAATACCTCACCCGCCAAAAAAAACAGCCATAAGACATCCGTCAAATTGAACAGCGTCACTTGCTTTTGCTCTGCCCCTACATGTTTAACCCACACTGCTGAGTGGAAGTAGAGATTTAAGTCAAATAAGTTGCTAACAAGTGAATTCCGACACAATTAGCTTTAAGACAGAATTCAGCATCACAGGTTGACAGTTATTTCACCTGTGGAAGCATGCCAGAGTTGTAGGTGTTTATGACCTACAGTAACCAGGAAAGGTTTTCAGCTGAACTTGTTAAACTAAGCCCCCTCCTGTTTGAATAGGTTAATGGTTCATCACACACTTCCTCCTGGAGTAACCCTTTGGGTGCTGAATGACGAGAGTAGACAGTGTGACAGTTAGGCATGCTGGGATCTGTTGGCTTGTCAACTTTTTCCTCTCTCTTCACCCTCATTGATCCATTGAAGAGTTGTTGAGCAGGTATTCTCCCTTTCAGCAACACCCTGCTCCTGCAGTTGGCCACTCTGCAGTTTTGCAGGAGCAGCAGAGGCAATGTGCCCTGCTCATAAGGCACCGTGGCAGACTCTTTGATAGTTTGAGTTCCTTCTCACCCATCTTCTCATTGAGAAATGCCACACACTGCCATGTTTTGCCGCCTGCCCTACATTTTCCTCCCCAGCCTCATTCTGGTGCCGATGCGAAGTTCCCCTCGCTCTCCACTCCCTGGTAACTGCTTACTTGCAGCGTTCCCAGGCTCGGGCTAGTGGCACCGCTCCCAGATCTGGGCTGGGAGACAGAGGGGTTTCTCAGGAGACAGAACACAAATACAGGGATCCAAATAACTTAATCACCAGCGGGGCTATTAGGCCCAGGATCTTAGAGGCTTACCCCGGGGAGGGTGTTTGTGTTTGGGGAAGGGCAGGAGAGGGGTAGCTGGGGACTGGATGGTCGATGGAGGTGTTTGGGTAATCACCACAGCCACGGGTCGTGTTAATTTGAGATAGGTCATGTTAAGATGTGTGCTATTTGGGTTAGCATGCAAAAATTTGATGTCAGTTCTCACTGTCCTTGAGTGGAAGGAATCCCATGCCCTGCTGGAAACAAGCTGTAAAACTGCTCTTATTTGTTTATTCATTGATTTGTTTATTTTTACAGAAGTATTCCAAGTTTTTTATATTTGTTTTTGCTCGCTTTTTCAAAGGTTTGGACAGTCTTAACTTGTAATAAAGCCTTGTTTAAACAAAACAAAATCTAAATATAAAAATGCTGAATATTGTCTATTTATTTACAGATTAACGTGAGTGTATGAGACACTTAATAACGTCCACTGTAAGTTTCTGTTTTCCACCCAGACCTATAACATAGAGTCCCTCTCTGTTTATGTCTCTCAGATGTGAACCCATTTCTCAAAGAGTGACACACTCCGTAAACACATTTTCCATCACATATAGAACAGAGGCTTCACAAGCGACCTCTGGACCTCGCAGAGTATGCAGGTGTAAATATTTTCTAGCAGGAGCTTGATCGTGTGCACTCAAGGGCCCTATGGGGTGATGTTAAAGCCATGATTTGTTGCAGGAGTGACATTAACCTTGTGAAACATCTTGAATGCGTCTATGCATTATTCTGTCACCGTAGTAAACTGAAGCATCAGCGGCTGAGGTGTTCTTTCAGTGAGAATAACAAAGGTGACCCTGGCTTTTATTATCTTCATTTCTCAGAAGGTGTCCTGTCTTTTAGCTGATGTTTTTTCTCTTATATCCCTCCCTTCAGACTTCTTCTGCCTTTGCACACTTCTTGTGAGTTCCTCAGTGTCATTCAGTGTACCACGTACATCCTCCAGAGTATGAATGAGTGGATGTTGGTACAAAACTTTGACAGATGTTGAATCTCTAGCGTGGAAACAGCAGTAAATGTAATACACATAATAACGTTGACTGCTCATATGAATGAAAAGCCATTTTTAACCAAATGCCCTTGAGAGCATAGATAAATATGATGTGAGAGGAGCTTATGATCTACAACCAACAGGTGGCTCAGGCAGGCATTTCATTGCATTCTCACCATAACCCCATTTTGTTCCTTTTTGGATTGGTGAGGAGTGGATACATCCACATGTGATGACCTGACATGAGTAATGAATTATGTCAGATGCTAATGTTGTGTCTCTCTCTTTCGTCTTTGTTGCTTTCTCGCTCCAGTCAAAGATGTCGCAGAGGCAGCAGCGCATGATAAAGAACCGTGAGTCGGCCTCCCTGTCTCGGAAAAAGAAGAAAGACTATCTGCTCTCGCTGGAGGCCCGCTTGAAAATGGCATTGTCTGAGAATGAGGTGCTCAAGTGTGAGAATGGCAAGCTCAAGAGACAGCTGGAGGGCCTGCTGAGTGAGGTGAGCTCTGCCAGGACTTCCACACAGCGTGCACTTATAAAGTTGCCTATGCACACAGTAACACGAGCTGAGAAATTTCCACAGCATGTGTTGTGAGATTCATACATGAGTCATATTTGTTCTCTGTAGTTTGTAATAACATGATGCCTTACTGTTTCTGCAGAACACAGTACTAAAGGTGACGGCGCCCAAGAGGAGAGCTGTGTGTCTCATGGTGGTGTTGGTGTTTGTCATGCTCAATGTTGGACCAATGAGGTGAGGATATAACACATCAGGACCATGGATCTCTCTCTGTATGTCTTTAAAGGGATACTTTGCTGATTTTCAACCAGCTTTGTATCATAACTTCCCTCATTGTACCAGCTCCCACATCTCCCTGCTTATCTCCCAGCTCAAATCTGCCGGATGAAGCGATTTGCATCATCTGGCGTATTTTCCCTGTCTCTAGGGCCGTTTCTCGAACTACAGATTGTACCCCTGCATTTTTGTATCACGGACACAAAGAGTATAGAAGCCTCCCGCCACCATTTGCAGACCAAACTCTAATTAAACTGTAAAACTAGGCAGTGCTGATCAATTCTGAACCAACAGTCTGTTTCTGCGTTGCCAATTTCTCGCCTAAAATGTTTTCAGGAACATACCTTAACGTTTTAACTGTAATACAAGATCATTTGTTACCAGCTGGCCGTCATATTGTTTTCTGTGTCAAAACGTACAACCTTGCATCACATAGCCACCAGCAGGAGCATCTATTGGTCTAATGTGGCACAATGCATTCTGGTAGTTGTAGGTTTTCTGCCACAGCCCTTTTCCTCTGTTTTCTCAGGTCATGTAGCATCACTTTCAAAAGTATTTACATCTTTTCAACACATATGAAAAGACCATCCCTCCAGCAGTGGAATACTTCTTTAAGTGTCTACACAACCATTTGATTTCCTAGTGTCTAAAAGCTCAAATATATTCAAATGAATGCTGATGAATGCGGATACTGTAGCTCAAGATGCAGCAAGACTACTAGTAACTCTAACATAATGTGGATGCACAAGAGTTTGATTAGCAGAGGAAACAAATGGGAAGCCCCATGACTCATTGTGGGAATCACGCCTCTTATGTAGGACATTACGCAAAAATCTTTATTGAAAACAGAGCAGAACATTTCCCATCCAAGCGATATGTTCACACAAACCTACTTCACCCATGTTTCAGTTGACAAAAACATATTAGCCAAAAATAAATTATGAATTAAATTACTATCTTTTGCTGTTTTATCACATTATTTCACAACTGTCTCCCTTAAAAGCTTTGAGCTAAAGCACTAATCTTGTTGTACAACCTAAAATAATATAGTCCAGTAATCCACATACTGTAACAGAGCAGTCTTACTCTGAGTGAAACTGATCTAGGAGGTAAGGAAACTGACGACTAGTTCATCCGTGCCAAATAGCTCTTATGTGTGTCTTCCAGTCCTTTGTTGTTGTTGCCAGAGTTTATAGGACTTTGTGACTAATGGGTGAATAAGCCCAGAAACACCCCGTTGGGTTTGAGAGGAACGTAAACATTTACCACTTACCCATAGAAAGAAAATCATTTCAGGCTACAAAAGATGTAAAAAAACATTTGTGCACGGCAGTTTTTCTTATCTCGGCTCGTAATATTAACAATCGTGACAAATTAAGATGAGTTATGTAAAACTACACTGGGGAGAAGGGTTTATTCCACCCAGCTTGCAGATGGAGAGATTGCGTAATCCCACAAACTCAAGCTGAAGTCCACCTCCAACTGTATCGATGACTTCTCTGTTCTCATGTTGAAAAAATGTTTGTTTTCTCCTGGGGAGAGCTTTCTCTGCAAGGATGCGAGGATCTACTTGTTGGACTGGCTGGCTTTGATAATCTGTCTGAGCTCTGTGCTGGGAATGTATTCCTCCAGTTGTTCTCTAGAGCTTAGACATGAAAAAGTTTTCATGGGCCCTATGAATGAGTTTGCTTTAACGACTTGAGTGGTTTTCACAGTAGCCGGAATCTGTGTGTGCCTGTACCTGCGCACGCATCTGTGTGTTTTGTGTTTGGGCTCTCCTTTGGAATGTAAAATATGCCCGCTTTTGAGGTCCGATCCCTTTGAAATGAAAATGCCACCCAGTGTAGTAATACTGCTGAAAGAGGCTGTGTGTATTTTTGTGTGCGTGCGCCCCAGCGTGCTTTGGGTTATTCAGTCCAGATCAGAGTTCAGATTCTGCTTGTGGCTGAAAAACCCTCCTGTGCACAGGATGTGGGCCACATGGAATTCAGCGGTTATTTCAGTTCAGTACCCACTTTTTCTTTTCCGTTTGTTTCCTCCGTCTGTAGTGTCCTGATTTTGCCTCACCTGTCTCTTTTCCCCACCTCACCTGTCTTCTGTGTCATCAGTCTGTTTCAGGGTGGCCCAGGCTCCAAGCTTGGATCTGTTTCCACGCAGCACAGCGGCCGACACCTGTTGGGTTTTTCCTCTGAGGCAGAAACCGAGGTCGTGATGGGCCCCGATTCCCTCGGCAGCGGCCCCTCTGAGATGGCCGACAGGTAATGAGCTCAACCCCCCCCCCCCAAAACACCTTTCACAACACCATGTCAGCGGACCCGGATGCACCTGTGCCTGGGCTCAGTCTGAACTGGCACGGCTCATTACGGCACCTGTAAACATACGCGCCAGCCGATTACCAACTCTGTCCAAACGTCTGCTTTTCAAATGCCTCCAGGCCCCTGGCTAGTTGGCCAGCAGTTGTGCTTTGAGTAACAAGGTGGGAAATTGGGGTCAGGCTGTGTTTGACATCCAGTTTTATATTGCTAGCAACAGTTTATTTTTCTAAAGGGTTATATATTTTTCTTTCTGTTTTCTTAAATGCGATAGAGGCCCAGCAGTCCCATTTGTAAATTGCATAAATAACATTCTTGTTTGGTACATTACCTGCACCCCCCATACCTGAAAATGATGTTTTGCAAGGTGGTCAGAGCATCTAATGTCTGCATGGCATTGCCAGCCTGTGTTTTGTCAGATCTCTGCGTCGGGTAGGTTACATGTTAATGCAAACCATCCAGCTGTAGTATCAGGTTTCCCGGCAGCATTAAACCAGCGCGGGCAGGAAGGAACACATTAGCCTTTACAAAAGGGGTGACAGCACCCAACGCACCACAGAGAAGGGTGATGGGGGAGATATGCAACCTAATCTTGGTGTCCCACTGAACAGGAAGTTGTGTGTGCAGGGAGGTTAATACGGGCCCCTCAGTTAGAGTTATGATCAAGCCTCCGTGAGCTGACATGTTGTCTCGCCGAACCATTTCCAGAGCGTTTAGAGACGGGAACGCCAGGCGCAGTCAACATGTCAACTCAGATCAAGGAGGCCCAAGGGAGGTATTACGTCGGTGGCAGGCGTTTTGGTAACAAGCCACCTGCAGGTGGGCACTGACTGTGGACAGTCTACATCATCACCTCAAGCAATGTAATCATTCATTCACAGAGGTGTATCAGTTGTAATTAAAGTCACAGTAATGTCTGGGAAAGAAAGTTAAACAATGCAGTGTGCTCGCAAACCCCCCCATGGCAACAACCCAGACCGTTTGGCTGTCATTTTTATCTGTCATCGTCTACAATCAGACTGGATGTGACGTGCAACGTGGCAGTGCTCAGCTCTCTGTCACATGTTACTGATAATTCTCAGCAGGACTTGAAGCAGCCTGTGGACGTATCGTTTCAGAACTTCCCCTCTCAGCGTTTTTGTGTGCATAATTAGCGACTGAAGCTCTGCCACTTCTGCATATGTCAAGTATTAAGAATTTTTGATTCAATAAAACTTATTAGTAACCATTAGAATTCAACACACATATAATTCTCCCCACATTGAGGCCACGTTGGTTTCTTTTTTGGTACCCTTTTGCTTCCTGTTACCCGATCCAATCTGGGTGTTTTCACCTCTGTCAGAGGGAGAGCAGCCATGCTGGCTCTCAGTTTGCATTCAAAGCATGTTGTCAGCATGTGGAGAATATTTTCAACAGATTGTTATTTGAAATTCTACAATGATTTGAGAGCATCTGAGCAGTGTTGTAAAGTTTTCTCTTTGTTTAACACCCTCTGCTTGGTGTTTACTCTGTGCTGTAGCTCTGAGGATAAGGCCCTGATGGTGGTGAAGGATCCTATCTTCCTCAGACCACCTCCTCCCTGCCAGCCTCCTGTAAACAGGACCAAGTGCTTAGAGTAAGTTATGAGCTCTTTGATTTGTGGCCAACTTTTCTCCTTTCACATAAGCCCTCAAAAATGCTCAAACCTGGCCTAAAATATTTGAAAAATAGTATAATACATGTTGATTGGCAGGTTGGCCCATGAGTTGAGGGGTTGGGTCCACCGTCATGAAGTGCAGCAGACCAAATCCAGACGCATGAGTAACAGCAATCACAAAGCCACCAGGACCATTCTGGTAAGTCACAGCATGCTTTTGAAAACAGGGACACATCTCTAATGGGCTGTGCGAGAATTAAAGTGATTTTCAGTGTTCGCAATAAAGCTTACAAACTAAACTTCACTTGTATTTTCGGCCATATAACTTTTTTATTTTGGCAAACCGAAGCCTCTCTTTCACCACTGTTTCACTTCCCCTCACACCTTCTTTTTTTTCTGCCTCTCATTTCTCTTTATTGGGCTGACTTTAATCCAGCAGTCCTGAGAAAGTAAACACAACACTTAGTGGGGAGCTGTAGGATTAGTGCCCCCTGCTCCTTTTTTCCATCATTTTTTCAAAAATCTGTCACAGTAAGTCTAATCCGCCAGGAGCTGCCTGCTTGGTATATACTCATTCTTCATTTTACTTTAGATAGAAATGCAGATGTGTTTATTTCTCACCTGTGTGGAGCTGTTTTAGCCCCACAGACACACATAAGTCTTGACAGTATTTTAACTAATCATATTAGTGAGCTGTAACTCAGAAAACCTTGAAGCTGGAATGCGTGCACTGATCTCTAGAAGTTTTGAAATGATGATCCTTTAGTTAACCTGCATTTGTGTGTTTGACAGTGTTACCAATAGTTTATCCTGTTCTCCATAATGGTTAGTGGATGTGAATATATAAAAAAATGAAAGCTCATTCTCTTTTTTTTTCCTCCCCTAACAGAAAACAGAGAATAAGCAGGCCGATGGTGCCCAGATTGTGACGGTCCAATACACAGAAACTACTGAGGAAAAGTGAGTAAAGGCCTGTTGCAAAGTATTTGTGTCAGACTCACAGAAGTAAATCATTTTACAGGTTTGATTTTTTTCCTACACACAATTCTCATTTGATCCCATTTGATTCTAAAGCTGATTACAGCATTTTCCAACAGCTATAGGGTGGAACATAGTGTAGATCTATCCGAACAAATACACAGCAACTACTGCTTGTGTGGTAAGCCAACACTGTGTGGTAACCTAAAACAGTGAGCTCAAGCCTCTTTGGAGCTGCAGACCGGAGTGTTTATTGTCAGCGGGATCTGCAGAAATTGATTATGTAGACATAACAAAGTGGTATGTTTCATTGTTTTACAGTTGTGTTTACCCAAAGCTGCTCTTTGAATGATGAGAAATAACATTCTAGCTCTGTTTTCACACTTTTGGCGCCTGTCCTCTTCGCACTCTTTTACAATCTGTTAGATTTATGATACAGTGATTTTAAAGCTCGACCCTCTGACCTGCTTCAGAAGTTTGGCGGACAGTGAGAACCCTTTTCTGCAGGACTGCACGGTGTAGTTTAGATCAGGCAGATGGAGTCAATAGTTTTTTTGGCCGCCCAGTTTTTTTCCCCTGTTGTAAGTCTGGCTATTAAACATTCAAATCTACAGCACAAAAGAGGAAAAATCTATTTCAGCAGTCGTCCTCTGCAGCACCACTGGTTGGCCAGAATGAAAATAGAAAATACACAAGAATAAAAAATCCTGTTTCAAGCATGACATCTTTTACCCGTGTCCCAGAGGGATCATATGTGTCTGTGACCGTCCTGCTGTGTGCATTATATTTAGAACCATTCATCCAGACCTGGTCACAGCAGGCGAGTCTGCAAAAGCTTTTATTCTCCAGTGGGTTGTCAAACAGGGAAAGCAGACTACTGTACATCTGCAGATAATGATTTCTTTTATTATCAGTCAATCTGCCATTTATTTCCCTTTTTAATCAAATTAATGGCTTGGTTATAAAACAGAATGCTGTGAAAAATAACCAACACATTTTCCCACTGTGATGTCATAAATGTTTTGTGTCTGACCAACAGTCTAAAACCCAAAGAGAATTATTTTATAAATGTAACGCAAGTAGATGTACCCTTAATCATGTTTGAGAACCTGGAACCAATTCAATTTTGACATTCTTGCTTGAAGAAATATTTTTAAAATTAATTAATTATAAATTTTCAGTTGGTTGACTGATTAATTGATCCATAGTTGCAGCTTGAGATGACTGAGATGCAAATTAGTGCCCTGAAAAGTGTCTGTGCGGTCCAGTGTAAGAAGTCGCTTTGGATGATTGTGATCATTGAATGATTTAACACCAAGATAGAAAGTGTGTCTGTATTGGGATTAAACAGACAGAGGTATCAAATAATATTATAGGTTTGATAAAAATCTGATATCAAAACAGTTAAAATATATTTTATCTGCATGAAATTTGCCAAATATAACACACTTCTCTTGCACAAAACATGATCATCATTGACACATCTATTGCACATCTGTCCGACCTGGAAGAGGGATCCCTCCTCAGTTGCTCTGAGGTTTCTACCAATTTTTTTTCCCCCGTTAAAGGGTTTTTTTTTAGGAGGGAAGTTTTTTCTTATCTGCTGTGAGTGTTCCATTGACAGAGGGGTGTCGTATGCTGTAAAGCCCTCTGAGGCAAATTGTGTATTGTGATATTGGGCTTAATAAACACAGTTAAAATTGAATTGAATCATCAGCACTTGATCAGTGGTATAGATGTCTTTTTCCCATTTCTGGATATTTTTCAGTGTGTCTCATATTTTTCTTTATCAACAGGAATCCAGGCAACGAGCTGCAGGTGTACTACGCACCCCATCACACCTACAGTGACTTCTTTGATGAGCTCAATCGTCGTGGCGACACTTTCTATGTAGTGTCTTTCCGCAGGGTAAGTTTCAACTTGTTTGGTCAATTACACCAGTGGTTCCCTACCTGGGGCACTTGTACACTCAGGATGTAAACTTCACCAAACAACCTAAAAACTGACAGTTTCATTATGTGGGAAAAAAAGGGCTGTATCGCTGCTGCAGCGCCCGCAGGTTTGATTCCAGCCTCTGGCCCTTTGCTGCATGTCATCCCCCCTCTCATGCTTCAACTATCCTATCCAGTAAAGGCAAAAGCCAAAGAAATAATAAAAAAAATGCACTGTAACAACATTGTTAAATATTGTGAAAATTGTATGAAAAAAAATATTATAGATAGTGTTAGATAATGTCCAGTTAATAATAAAATCAAGTTAACACACTTGAAATCTGACGGGTGGTGAAGAGGTACTTGAGTTCATCTGATAGGAGTCCAGGGTACATCTTAAATAAAAATTTGGGAACCACTGCATTACACCAATTTGAGAGGAGAAGCGTGCGCTGGACCCCACACAAAATCTGACGTAGTGGTGAAATTGATCCCATAAAGTAAAATTAAAAAAGATTGCAATGGAAGTTTTTACAGCTCAAGACTAATCAGTTTGTGCAATTTGTGTCTGACATGAGATTTCCTTCTCTCAAACTGACCGTAAAAAGCGACAAATTAATTATAGACTGAGTAACTTATGAATCATAAATTACATGTAATAGAGACCTCTCAACAGAGAGGTTTGAATGGAGAGAAAAGTGGAGGGTGGGGGAGGGGATGAAATGCAAACGCCCAAGGGTGTAACTACCCCTTTCCAGTCCAGTTTCCTTGGTCCATTTGCAATCATCAAGACCATGTTTTAGATTTTTTGGCATGGCCGTCTGTCACTGTTAATCTTCTTGGCCTTTCTTCATTTGACCATTTTTCCACATTTGAGACTGAACCTGTTTTGAGTTTTCCCTCTTGATATGATTAAGCCTGGACATCACATTCAGAAAGACTTTTTTTGATTAGATTGGATTGGTTTCTTTCTTTTTCAGACATATATTTGTAGAGCACCAAATTCACATCCTTTTGTTATCAAGAAAAAGAAAATAAAAGTGCTTAGGGGAAATCTTTTCCTTTGAGTTCTACCCATTAAAGCTTGTTTCATTATCCTGGGACGCTGTTGCTCCATCTATTGTCACTGAACTGTGCCAAATAAGACACATTTACTTCCACACTCGTCCAAAAAGTAACATTAAGCAAATGAAATGAAGATGTGTCTCTTCCCAAAAAACATTTGGTCCCTGTTCCAAAGAGCTCATATCATACTCAGCACCTCTGGGTGATGTTAAGCCCTTAAATCCTCAGGATTACTCGGTGGGGCGGGAGTTTTGAAGCATGCGGCCAAAGAGCAGGACCCCTTGTCACCAAGCGAGTCACAAAGGTTTGGCTCTCAGTTGACATGGTGACAGCAGGGACAATGATAACAATGGTGTACCCGAGTTGAGGGCCTCTACAGGTCAAGTGGCCGTCAGTCAGTTTCTGGCAGCTTTGTGTTGCATGAGCAGTGAGGTCGTTAGTTTAGGAAGTTTAACTTTACAGGGCAAAAACCTCCCTGATACTTAAACTTTTAATTAAAACAGTTAAACAAAATAATGAACAATAATTCCAGAAGTTTGATACTTACTGACCGAACATTCTGCTCTTATAATCACTAGAGCAGATATGTAATTCTTGAAGAACATGTTAAAAATGCCCTAAAAGAAATATTTGAAAAGGAGAGCATCAAAATACCACAACTTAAAATGATATTAAACTTATTTACTTGCTTAAACTTAGTCTAATGTTATTGACAGGGACAGCAGCAAAATATATTTTATCTACTTACAAAAAAGCCCACCCAAAAAAAGCAATATGAGTTTAAGTGTTCATATCTAGAATATTTTCACTGCTTTACCTTGCCCAGTCAGCAATTTCCAACAGGGAACTGAAGCCTTTATGTTACAATTTTTATGCTAGACTCCTTTGAGAAAAACTGTAATTTAGTATTGCTGATCATAGGTGCTGCTGGTCTACCACTGCCCCAGTCAGGTAGTTTATTAGTATTATTGTGCAACTGTGGTTTGAAAGGGTTAATTCAGATTCATTAAATTCATGCCATGATACAAACAAACTAACTGGTCAAGGCAGCAGCGGACCAGAAACTCAAGTGTTTAGTTAGCTTAAATTATAGTTTTTGTCAATGGAGTCTGGCAGCTTTGAAGAGAGTATGGATGGGGAGCTGAAATCATTGACGGCTTCCCTAAATATAGCTTACACTTAAACTGCTATACTGTTTTTTTTAAGTGGCTAAAATGTGTTTCGTAGCTGACCCCTCTACAGCAGTACATTACGTAGCTTCTGCAGCAGTACTCCTGCCTGCTTCTCCAAATTGAGTTTGTGCCAACTGACATCTACTGAATGTAATACACAGACTATGGATAAGTACCTCATACAGCCCTACTTCAAAAGATCCGAACTATCCCTTTAAAGTTTTGATTATTTGGAAATGGAAATGGCATGGAGAGGATGTAGGACTCCAGCTAGCAATTTCTCAGTTAACTACTGTTTGGTCTGGGGTGCCCATTAGCTCACCTGGTAGAGCAGGTGCCGTATGTACAAAGGCTTTGTCCTTGCTGCAGCGACTTCGGATTCGATTCCAACCTACAACCCTTTGCTGCATGCCAACTCCTCCTTCTCTTCCCCCTTCATGCTTAAACAGCTGTTCTACTGACTAAAGGCAAAAAAGCCCTAAAAATATCTTCAAAATAATAATAAACTATTTGGTCTGTCAGAAAATAGTGGAAAATACCTATCGCAATATCTTAAAATCCAAGGCAATGTCATGAAATGTTTGCTTTGTCCAACTTATAGTCCAGAAAGATCCCAAAGATATTCACTTTCCAGTAACTTCAGAAAAAGAGATGCAGAAACTCTGAAAGAATGTCCTGCCTCCTTCACTACATGCCTGCTCTTATTGGATATGATCTTTTTATTAAGTGCTGAAGTGGACTAATCCTGGTTTTAATAAGTGTGTTTTGATAAGCAAAACAAACTTGCATCAGTGGGTATGACAAAAAAAATCACTTAATAGTAAAAGACACAGATGATAAATTACAGGTCTGTTATTCAGTGTGACCTCTTTAATGCTTACAGACCTTTATTAGCTTTTCTCCGTCAGTTTATTTGCATGTATTTTGTTTCCTGGGTTTCACCATGTGTGTGTGTGTGTGTGTGAGTCGACAAAAACGGGTGTGCTTTTGTTTTTTCGTTCCAGTCAGTATGATGTTATAACAGGACTGCCAAAGCTCTGGATTAAATTTGGAATTTTGTTTAGATTTTAAAGCCAATCACCACCAATTTTGACTTTTGTCCCTCGAGGCAACTCATTGGGTTCATCATGGCCTGTGCTTGCCCTCGCCAGCAGTTGAGGTCACTCTAAAGTATGTTGCAAGCTCAGAAATGGCCATGCTTTGGTCAAGGTTACTTCAAACCCTCGATCGATACAATGCCACCTGTAGCTTTGTTTAAGTGTGAAATGAGGTGAGGTGATGGAAAAAATAATTCTCAACATGGACAAAATATGGAACTGCTCTTACTCTACCGTCATGTTGCGGTTTTGCTTCACTTCCCGTGTTGTTTTAGCACCTGCGGCTTTATATAAGTGTGCACTGAGGTGAGGTGGTGGAAACACTGGCTGTTTTCACCGTGGACCGTATCCTATAGAGTTCAAGGGAAATTCACCTGTTGTCATGGCAGCTGCAGCTGTTATGTCAGCTTGACAAGCTCGCTGGTCCCCTGGTGATGGGCAGTAATGTGGTCGGTGTTTTCCTGCCACCCTCCGAGCACAGTCAAGGAGCCTCTCAGTCATGTATAACCTTTAACACTCCCTTTGGGTGGCTTACAGCTTAACCTTTATTCTTTGCAGTGCCATTACTGTGTATCACACCAAACTCTTTATTCTGAGGAAACATCAAGATACACTGAGTGCAACGTCTTTGATTAAACTTACTTGACATCATAAGCAACACGTTCTTACTCACAATAATGACATACAAGAGCCTCCCACATGTGTTTCCCACACATCAGTACGTCTCCTCATATCTCACAGGTTTTCGACATTGCTCTTTCCTATCTTCTTGTTGTAATCCCTTTCCCAGTCTCAGACCATACTCCCACCTGTCACCAAACTAACACTCCTCATTTCTCATTTCATCCCGGCTGAGTTTTGCAAGCCAAGTGTGATAGACTAAACCCCTTTTCGGTTTGTCTACTCTGAAAGTGGCACTTCACCGATTGTACACATGAAGTTATGTTTTACTTGTAATAAGTTGTACTACTACATCTGTTAAACCAGTTGCGTAATCGCTCTGAATCAGACAGGGTGTGTGTTGCAGGTTGAAAAAAATGAAAGAGGAGAAGTCACAGGGAGTACTACCAGCTTGTCCAGGAGCTTTGCCCTGATTATGGTCTGTTCAAGGCTTATTTTAGGATGATTTGGGGACAGTTTGACGATCTGCTGCGTACTGTCGGACCCTATTACGGCTGGTGAAACCTTAGGAGGTAGCTGAAGCTGCATCTCAAACTAGGCTTCAAAAATATATAAGAGAAAACATGTGTCTCAAACTGTTGGTTTTGAGTTTGACAGAAGTGGTCAGAAGGAGGCAGGGGTTTTCTAATGAAAGGCACGGTTGAGTTGTGCTATGGGAAATGTAGGATCCAGCATCTTTGGAGACCGACCCATACTAGGAACTAAAAGTCAGGATATCTCAGCCAATATTACTTTAATTTCAGCTGTTATTTGTCCCTGAAGGGAAGTTGGTTTTACAGCAAGACAAAGAAATTGTTGTTGTTTGATTGTTACCATTGTTATGAGTCCCACCAGTTTGTGGAAGTGAAAAGCTGAATTCATGGAGTTCCCCTTTATTTGTGCTCAAAACAGTAACTCTTTAATGGTTTTTCATATAAAAGTTTCCAAATCATTTTAAACTTGTGGTCGGATAATCTTTCTTGCCCGACAAACTGAGAGGAGAGAACACAGTGTCTTTTTTTCATACGATGTAGGATTTCATTCACCAGTCTTGGTATCAATCATGTAACTGATTAAATTATTTAGGTCAGAGCTTTTGAAGTGGAGCTACGGCTAAACACAGCCATTATTGTGTGTGCGTGTGAGTCACATGTGTGTTCGCACATTAGCATTCCTCTTTCCACCACAAGGCCTTCTGAGAGGATGTGCTCAGATTAAAACCTTCCCACTCATTGTCTAATGAATTGCACAAAAGTTATTTTTGATAGCACCGGAAACTGAAGTACTCTGTAGTTAATGCTGTTTAGAGCTCAGACTTGTAGTAAATTAAAAAGTGCAATGAGTGCTTCAGTGTCCCTAAGTGACAGTAATGAATATAGAGTGATTTAAACTGATTAGATGATGAGGCAAGGCATAAATAAAGTGCTCAATTTGAAGAATTACATGACTAGAAAGGCCATCATGGAAAGTTCTGCCTCATTCAAGGACCCTTGAACCTCCCAGATGACCATTACATCACTGATAAACTCATGCTCCTGATGCAAATCCTCCGGAGGTCTTCTCCTTAGAGTTACAAACTCGGCTCCAAATCTTGATCAACAATTGGCAAACGCACGCATCCGACTGTTTTTATTTGCTTCCAAGTGACTTGCATTTTCCTCTCGATGACCTTCTATTCTTTGTTCTCAGGATCATCTTCTACTTCCTGCCACCAACCACAACAAAGGACGTCGACCCAAGATGTCTGTGGTGTTGCCAGCCATGAACATAAACGGTATGCACTGCAGCACAGACACAACAGTCAGGGGGTTTGGTCACTCCACACAATGTAACAGATGAAAGGCGAGCTGGGAGCGGATTCAGAAACACGTCTCCCCACAAAAATGCATTACTTGTGGTGTAAGACACTTTTAAGGAAAAACTCCTTTTACCAAAACAGAGCACCTTCACTTTTTAAGCCTATTAGGGTGATTCTGATCTTTTTTTTCTACCTGCACTGGTGTTTTGGTTTCCAGAATCCACCTTCTTGGAAGTGTGTGTTGCCTGTTTGACTTAAAAGGAAGTTTCTTCAGCGACTTTCTTTGCCAAAAAGTTTCTTTGACATCTGGCATCTCATTAGTAGAAGTCTTGCTCCCTACGTCTTTCTGAGCCCTTTGTGGTTTCTATTTTGTCCTTCAGCCTCTGATTATACTCTCTGTTGCATTTAGCAACACTGTCAAGTGTCTGTACAGCCGCTGACCGAACCACACACAGACATAAACAGCTTTTTCATTGTGGTCATTTCCTTCTGGCTTTTTTTTTTTTTTTTTTTTCAGACTGTTTTACTAAAAATAATGAAGTCGAGGCCTTGACAGCGGTGTGTGTACTTTGGTAGATTGACAGTTATATTACAAACATTTTTTATTATTATGATTATATTAAAGATATCACGTTGTTTTTGGCAAAACCTAGAGTGTGACCACATCTTTGTTATCTCTACATACATACATTGCTTGAGTTGTTGGCTATACATCCATCCATACAGCAGTCTATTAATAAAGACTTTGCACAAAACACCTGAAAAATCATACAGACTAGGGTTGTATACCATTTGCATTTGAACTGATACCTGTAACTAGAACTTGGCACTGGCACCCAGCAGTACCTTGTTTTGGTACTTTGATTTCTCTGTAATTACAAAAATGTAATTTTTTAACAATGCACAGGGATGATGTAGTAGACTAAAATGCAGTTCTGCTCCTCAGCTCTTTTTTAATCACACATAGAGCTAATCTACTGTCTCTCTGTCTGCGTGTGTGTGTGTGTGTGTGTGTGTGTGTCTGCTCATCTAGCAGTGATACAAGGCTGTAACTAAAATAATATAGAAAGCAAAATAGACCAGATAGTGAAACTATTGCAGCAGATAGGAGATGAAGCAATAGTTTTGCTTCACTGGTAAACTGACAGAGCGGCCGCAGAGCTCCATGGTTGGCTTCCAGGCATTAGAGCGCTTTGTGGCACTTCACTTCTTTTCTTAACCTGGCGTTGTCTCTCGGTTGAGCTCCCAGGTACTGGTATTTGGCACCAATGGATTTAACGTTATGGATTTAACGCAAATTTGGTACCTAATCCGAATCAAGACCTGTGGTTCCAGTTCAAACTGTACCACCTACAGGCAAGGAAAGTAAGAGTGTCTGCAATTTGGCGCATCTGCCATGCAGAGTTTTGCAACTGCAGTCATTCGATACTCGTTGGTCTGTTATATTGCCTTTGCCTAAAGAACACATGTATGAGATCGTTTTACCTGAGGAGTGCCTTGTTTTTTTTTACTGCATTAATCTGAGACTTCCTGGATTTTGTTTTTTGTACTTATACAGGCCTTTCCAAATAGCACCTGGCATACCAGCCATCAGAGCCAGGCAGCCCCTCCTTCTTCCATTGTAAAATAGTCATAAGAGACAGAGCTCACACTGCTCATAGTGTTGTCGTTATGTGTCCTTGTCAGCCTGCTAAATATAAGTTTGTGAACGTGTGACTAGCAGGAGTCGTTAAGCTAAAAAGTCATCAGTATAGAATAATTAATCTGCACATATAAGACTTTTGGTCCTTGATCTTTTGTGAAAATGAAAGTACTTTGGTTGGAGTGAGCCTCACAGAACATTCAGTGTCATTGTCACATATGATGGTTGCATGCTAGTGATGAAAAATCAAATATAAATACAGGTCCTTTTCAGCTTATGGAGCAGGTCACAGCCCATCGAGATTGCTTCATTTCCTCTCGAAGAGAACAATTGCTGTCCACAGCTTGTCATAGTGGGTGGCAATCAGAGTGCATTTGGTTGCAGTCTGGGAGTGGGGGGTGGTTTCCACCAGCCCATTTGAGATGCAGTCACCCATTTATTTGACTGCCTGCCCTCAAAAACAAAACCCATCCAAAACATTGGTAAACTGAGGTACACCTCAGTATCGGAACACTTTATCTGCATGAACCTTGGACTTCCATTGGCGTATTTGTCGCCAAATTCTGTTTTTTAACGAATTGCTAAAGTATACAGATGTTTTTGATTTTCATGAGCTCATGATAGCTTTTCTCCATGGTCCTTAGATCTGCTGGATTATCAATACAGTATGTCAAAGTCGGGTCATCAGAGATTTTAGTGGAAAGAAATCGTCTTTGTCCAAATGCTGCAGTTAATTATCAGGCGGCTTCATTTTCACCAAGCCTACAGGACAGTGAATTGAAAGGAAATCCGCTCGAGAGGGATTGTGTTTATGTAGGGTGTGAGCAATTAGGAAGATAGCCTGTTGTTGTTATTGGGTGTGCGCCTGGCATTTTTATCAGAAATCCTCTTGTTCCTCCGATATCTCCCTGTGTCTTTGGTAAAGCACCAGCAAGAGATCTGATTAGTCAACCAGCTCTGAGAGGAGTGAGTCAGTGCAATATGAGCCTCTTACTCAGCAGGGAAGACATGGCCAATGGGAAATACGTTTTTTTGTTTTTTTTTTTCTGGGAGGGCGGTGTAAGAGATGAAGATTGATGAAAGTAAACATTGTTCTTGGTTGGTCTTGTCAGGGAGGAATGTTAAGGTCCGTGCTGTTCAGATGGCCCATTGAAACAGCAGCAAATAGTGAAATCCAAGACCTCCTTTCAGCTAATTGTTGAAATGACCAAACAAAGGTGGCATTCAGGGAGAGATATCGGGTCTGGAAGGATTCTTCTTAGCTCAAGAAAAGGGCCTTCGATTTGCATGCTCTGTCATGGATGCCTGCATTTGGCTGTAAATGTAAAACATTGTGTGTTCATCTGCGTTTGTACCACAAGTCTTGGTCCTGCTTCTTTCAGGCATTAGTGTGTTTACATCTATTGTGCTGGCTGAATCATGTGGTATCTTTTAGAGAGAGGACTAACAGCAGTTTTATGTTAGCACAGATGCACGTACGGTAGCTTCAGTTTCTAATGCCACAACTGCTCCTTCTGGTAGTTCCCCGTCGACCTGTCAGAAAGGACTGTGCTTAGAAAGTGAGCCAACAGAGACTGACAGAAAAGAGGTTGGTGGCAATTCTCTACACCTGCGTGGTCCTCCCTGCTTCAACACATAAAATCCCATGTGTTACACACATGACAGCCTTCAAGTCACATTTCAGATTTATGTTGTCTTTGTTTGAAACTTTGAAGTGATTAAGTGCAAATGTACACATTTAGCTGGGCGCGACCCTTAGAAAAGCAGAAACACTGTCCTCTCTCTGGAGCAAGATTGCTCCACAGTGGACGATAATTCTTTCCAGCTCCCTGTTGCTGCTCTCCTCTAGGAATGCCTTCCTTCTCCAGTCACTAAATGGTTTTCATCTGGAGGAGGTGGATAGACTCTGCTAATCTGGAGTGAGCGTTTGGTCTGTCGTGGTCAATAACTGAGCGTCAAAGATCCAGACTTTGATGTAAGCCGTCGCTTGTTTCTGTCTCACTGCGTGTCCACGGTTCAGGGGCTCTGTTGAAGTTACTTGACCTTGACCGCCTTGATTCTCTCTGAAAACGTATCTGGCTGAGCAGCGACTCCTCATAAGGACTGAAGGGTGTGTTTATTTAACGATCCCCTGAGTTTGAAAGTAGCTCAATCAAGTGGAAGCGACATGTTTGGAGGAGAGGAATGTTTTGGAGATTACATCATTTACAGGTGGATCGACCGTGGGAGACGCACTGCAGTCTATTTTTACTTCTCTGAGACTGTGCATGTGCACTGTAGCAAACGGGCAGCTTTCACTGGGGGGTTTAAGCTACAGCTCCGCACCACTGATGGAGTTGGGGGTCAGATTTTCCTACTCCTCTAATCTAAACAAACATCCCCACCAATGCTCTGAAAGGGAGTGTGCTCTTTACCAACCTAAATGTTTAACCCTTGCCAGTCATGCAAAATCAACTAGTGCAGGCAATCGATCGTCTAAGTGACTTCATTCTCTGTACATAACGCTAGTTTTTAGCCATGCTAGCTGTGTGGCACTCTTGATGGCAATGTTGGTTCACCATTTTGGTAAAGAGTCAGGCTGAAATGTTTTTTTTTTGTAGGCCAACCCAGAAGTTGCCATCAACCTGGATCCCTTAAAAAAAAGACAATGGGATAATTCCATTGGATTTTGGATTACTGCAGAAAATAAGATCTGTGGACTGGAGCCTATCCCAGTTAACATTGGGTGAGAGGCGGGGTACATCCTAAACAGGTCACCAGACCATCGCAGGGCTGACACATAGACACAGACACCATTCACACTCACATTCACACTTACGAGCAATTTAGAGTCACCAATTAACCTGCATGTCTTTGGACTGTGGGAGGAGAAAACCCACACTGACATGGAGAGAACATGCAAAACTCTGCACAGAAGGGCTCCTACTGTGCCCTTATAGCACCATTATCAGGTCAAATTTTAAATGTCTCCCTGTGCTTTGCTTTATCACTAAATTCCTGCAGATCTAATGACTTTCCCATCAGCCTCAGCTGTACTTTGTTCTTAGTGCTTATTTGCAAATGTTAGCATGCTAACATGCTAACCTGAGATCGTGAAAATGGTAGGAAACTTAAAGTACCTGCTAAACATCAGTCTGTTAAAAAACAGTTAAAATACATGCACATCCCAGTGTGCAATGGGTTGGGTACTGGACCAGAGAAACATCTGGCAAAGTAGAAAACGTCTGAGGAAACTGTAGATAGAAACGTCACATTGCATTACAATCCTTCTGGGGAGCTGCTCTGTGCGAGGTCTTATTTGATTTCTACTTAAACATCAGTATGTTCTCATTGTCATTGTGAGCATGCAGTGTCAGCATTTAGTTCAAAGCATGGCTGCGCAAAAGACCCACAGAGCTGCTAGCATGTCAGCAGACTATTTCAGTCTTGTTATTGCCTGTGAGAATAATTTTCTAATGGTAGAACATTGTTTTATTGTTTAATATCAGCTTGGTCAGCGATTGTAGAACGTCTCAATTATTCATTAAATAAAAGACGAGCATATTGGTGGAATTTTCTGAATTGAAATTGTCTGGAAATTGGCTGGACTTGGAGGTTATGTGGATGTTTAAGTTGCCTAATTGCCATACTATTAGACCAGCATTTATTTTTATTGGCCTTGTAATTTAGTCATTATACTTGCTGATGAATTGCTTCCTCTCTGTCATTAAAAAAAAAAGCTTCTCTCATGAACATGTCCTCAGTGTTTGTGCCAGTCTGGCAGCCACCATCCTCCTGAGATGCACTCTCAGGTTTCCTCAGATGCCTTGTTGCCAGACATTGGGGTTTTATCAGCACACACCAGCTCACTGTGTCGCTGAAACTTTCTGGAACATCTCCAGATGGCACTCGTAAAAGGGGGAAGGAGTCCATGCAGAGCAGGACGGTAGAATTGGCAGCGTCTTCAGAGAGCTGCTGTTTGAAGTTGGGCCTCGTGGCTGTGTGTTTGTGTGTTTCCTGTTTGACTGTTCAGGCTTCTCAAGCTGTTGGCTTAATAGAATTTAGACATTTGGTGAAAGGTGGATGTAAACAGTGCAGGGAATTAAATGTCCTCAATTTGGATAATGTCTTAGATTATGTCCCACAAATTACAGTGTGATTATTTTGTAATTATTGGGCACTTAGAAAATAATTACGGGGCTCAGTAATCTTGTTAAAGGGTAATGATAAGTCTCAAAATAAAGAGGTAACAAGTAAAGCCTGCATTGAAGGTACAGTGTGTAGGTTTAAGGGGATATATTGGCAGAAATGAAATGGTGTATGATCACGTAATAAATAAGAATCATTGTGTTTTCATTACCGTGGTGTGAGCTGTTTATATCCATACACAGATTGGATCCTCTTCCTCAGAGTCCGCTAAGTTGTTTCTACAGTAGCCCAGAATGGATAAATCAGACACTGGCCTCAGGTAGAGCCATTCATGTTTTCACATCAGCCAACATAGTTCTTCTACACACTTGATGCAGGAGACAGGTTTCAGCTGGTTTCAGTCTGCAATATTACCTCTAGATGCCACTAAATCCTACACACTAGACCTTAAATTGTTTTTTTTACAAGCTTAAACACAACATTGACATATCTTCACCTTATGAAGTTGATATGATCTATGTGTTAGCAAACAGTTGCCTGTGTACACATTCAGAAGACACAGAGCAACATTAACATTCATTTAAAGTTGTATTCCTGGCCACCTGGCAAATGTAAATCCAAATATATACTTTCCTTTTAGCTCTATTTTGGTCTCCACCAGCTCTTTAGGTATGTCTGTAGCTTTAGCTGCTATTTGTGCGTTCCATTTGCACCAGGAAGTCAGGTGCCGGTTGCACAAAACACATTAAGATGAGATTTTCCTTGGAGTCCATGTTAGGGCTTTCTCAAAATAAAATCAGTTGCACAAAACACATCTTCTCCCTCAGGTTTCCTGAAAATGTTCACTTAAATACCTAAGGTTTTCTCCTTATTTTGGTTGTATCCTAAAAGAATCCCTTAAGGTTAGTTAAACCATTGCACAACAGACTTAAGATATTACAAGCTTGAGTGCAAGCAACAAATGGTTATGATGGAAACTGTAGTATCTTACCACTGTAAAATCTTTCAGTGCTTTAAATGCCTTAACTTTTTTACTTCTCAGGGATTCTGTGAAACACCCTCAAGTAAGTCCCTCAGCATGGTAAAAATTAAGTCTTAAGTATCTGTGCAACTGGCTCCAGAATTTCCCAGTTCATAGTCAAAAATTTTAACAACGCCTGAAGTTGGATTTCTGACTCATTAAGTCATAGGAACTCACCAACCCTGACCTCAAAATCTAAGATGGCTGCTCCACACATCAACTGAAGTGAAAGTTGTAGTAATCCATCGTTTATTAACACTTCTGTCTTATTTGTGTCCTACTAACATAGCCATAGACACAGTCCTGTCCAACTCCTGTGGACATGTTGTCACAGTGTTGCATAAAATACAGTGTAATGCGTTGTTATCAACTGGTATTTCTAACAACATCTTGGTTTGTTTACCTGGAACGTCAACTTGGGTGTGACGTCACTCCCAGCTCCAACTTCCGACTCCCTAGGTAAATGGAACACAAGTTAATCACATAAACCGGTTTTGATGTGACATTTTTTATTAGGGGATACTTAAGAATTTTAGATTATAGCAGTGTGGTTAAGCAGTAAGTATGTTGGGAAAAATACATAGGAAAAACTATGATAGTATTCCACTGGCTGATCTACAGATATATAGCCCCCCTTTGTATGTTCTTGGATTGGTTGCTGTACAGTTATGACTTTATAACTCACTTGGTCAAGGTAATTATGATCTAATTTTGAGATATGTGGGCTGTAATGCAAAGCAGAATGTGTTCTCTATTTCTGTGTATTAACTCGAGGTATTCTGGCTATAAAATTGCAAAAAAATATACAAATTAAATAAAGCTAGCTTTGAAAGGACTGCCAAACTCTTGCACCTGCAAAGCCACAGGGTGCTTTTGCTACCCAGGACTGCTGCCTCCTGCCCACTGCTGCACCCCTGTTCAGTTTTCTATAAGGCTTTATGAATTGTAAATTATTTAAATAGATTTTGAGAAAGTATTTCCATAGTAATAAAGCTAAAAGTCCTTTAAGTACAGAATTATTACCCATTTTATTTAAATATTTCTCGCTTTGTTCTTTTGTGGTTGAATTTTTTTTTAAAATCTCATTATTTTTTATATCTATAGTTATTTGTAGGATTTTCACTGTATTCATCCTCCTCATGTGTTGTGCATTTGGGTTACGCATGACACTTTTCCACTTTGTGCAGCCGATCTGTTGGACTTCTATTTATTATTGGAATAAAATAAGCTAAGTGGTGGTTATGTCAGAGCAGTTTATTTTAAACTGAACAGTATCCACAGCCTTGACTCTGCAGCCATGACAGGACCTTGAATCTTGAGGAGGAAAAAAAATATCAGTTGTGATCTCATCAAGCTATATGGAGATACACAGAGAATAACTTTTCCAGCTCTGCTACAGACCGAGGCACTAATTTGAGATAGCGTGACCAAATCCTAACCCGGAGGATGACTTCCAGAGCTGTCTGTTTAAACACTGAAATTCATTTGAAAGGTTCCAGTTTCACTGCAGGTGCAAAAGAGGAAGTTGAGCAGCAGATGAAGTCATACTCAGCTTAACCGTCCACTAACCATTTAATGATATGAACATCCGTGAAGGCTTCTGGCTGCAGAAGGGGCTATTGTATTGTCACTGTACAATCTGATAAAGTCTCTTAAGTATGGAAATCCTGCAGAGAGGCAGAAGAAGCTGATGTGTTGCACAGGTGTCTGGAAAAAGACTGCAGCTTTTAAACAACTTGCAGCACCCTTAGGCATTTTAAAGATGCCTACAGCTCCATTTCTGGGTCACAGAAGAGCACACTACAACTGAGTTTGGCTTGTGTGCTCCATATGGGGAATGTTGTTAGCATCTTGGCACGCTCGCTGACACAAAGGAAGCGACACGTTTTCTGTCAATGTAAATACACGAGATCCCTCCACATGTTGTTGATAGCTTTTTCTAGCAAGGGATTTTATAATCGTGTCCATTTTAAAGGATGTTCTTCTCCCAGGCTGAGCAAAATTAGGCTGTGGGAGACCACAAACCATGAACCACAGCATTGTCTCAAGTCCAGCCTCTTTTCCCAAACTTGAATTTCACAAGATAAAGCCAGCACAATTATTTGTTTGTAGGTCACATGTCAGGGTGACCTTGTGAAAATCTATTTATCTTTGATAATGAGGGTTTTTTTTGCCTATCATCATCTGCAGTGCATTGCAGTCTCTGGAGTTTTTCCCCAGCACAATAACCTGACTCATCACCGTCGATCTCTGTCTGTTTCTCGATCTTGCCAGAGTTTCTTCTTTTCTTCTGTGAACAGAACAAGAAGCCTGAAGGATCCTGACTCATCATCAGCGATCGTGCTCCCACACTCTTGCCAAAGTTTCTTCTTTTCTCCTCTCAAATTTGCATGTCCTGCTCTTGTTTAGAGCTGTTTTGTTTATCTCCATGAAGGAGAAGTCCAGAATGTGACTCACCTCTGGACTCCATGTGTGATCTGGCCTCCACCCCTCCCTCTCTTGCTGCGGTTCTCACCCCCCCACCCCCACCCCCCCCAGCTGCCTCAGACAATACTCCTTTACACTCCCAAAATACGCTCTTATCATGTCTCTCCGCAGCAAGTTTGACAAAAACCCTGCCAGTAATAATAATGACAAATACAGTCTGACAGTTTGGCAAGCGCTAGTCGTCTCTTGAGTTGATTAAGTCCTTTGCTGTGATATAAATCTACTGCTGATAGAGCAAATACACAAATTATTCTACAATAATTTATTTATTTATGCATCAAAAACTAACAACCGTCCTGCTTTCTTTCCTGCCATTACAGACAGCATCATAAGGGACAAAGACTACGAGGTGATGATGCAGATCGACTGCGAAGTAACAGACACCAGGATCCTCCACATCAGGTCTTCCACCATCCCACCTTTGCTCCGGGTGAACCGCACAGACACGTTCTACCAGCACTCCTCGCCTGACAGCCAGGCCACGCCTCCTGTTGGAGTGCTAATGGGTTCTGCTTAGGATCACCCAGCAGCACCTGTTGTTACTCACAGCTCCTCGACAAAACCCATGAAGACAAACAGAAGATAAGACCTCAGTTTTTGTGTGTGGTGAAGTATAATTTAAATCAGGTGAACTCCCTCTGTTGTCGTGTTTTTGATTTCGATTTGAATGAAATCCATTACAACACAAAGGTAGCTCCAGTCCTCAACACCAGTCGGCTGCATTCTTTATTAGGGCTGATATCCGGAGCTGGTCTGTAATAGGGTCCGAGCTCCTTGTGTGGCAACACTGACTTCTCCCTGTAACCCCAGACGCCCCACATAAGGGTAATTGCTTAGCGGCAGGGGGCTGAGCATTGAACCCTGAGTCACCCCGTCATAACACAAATACTTTTACCCCATAGCAGCTCTCCTCATGTCTGCCCTTCCCTTTTTTGCTTCTTAATTTTGAGAACAAGCTGCAAAGCCAGAAGACAAAACAGAAAATGATTATACACCTCACCGGGAAGGCATTTGTCATATTAATGCCCAGAAGCACAACAAATTTGGTGTTTTGTATCATAGCTACAAAACGGAGTGCTGTAATCATCGCTCTCACTCATTTGTAGTCTCTTCGCCTCTAAATAAATAATGAAATCAGTGAACAGTACAGAGATTAACGACGTGCAGCAATAGAGGCTTTCAGTAAACTCAGGAAGTCAGGTGATCTGTGAAAGCTAAACCACTATGTTGTTTGCTGGTTTCCATTACTCTAAGGATTTCAGGTGCTCTGTTTTTAACATTGTATTGATGGAGAATTTCAGTTTTTGGGGTCTTTGCACTGTGCTTGTCTTATATTGATGAACAGATTCAGATAGTATACATATTTATTTCTGTTATTATGTTATGGTAGTACCAACTCCTGTGGTCAAAATTTATTCTGTCAAGATATATTGATTTTATATCTATTCCTCTGATTATGCTTTGTGGGAACTTTTTTTGTAATTGACTGCATAAAAATAAATGACATTGTATATAAAATGATAAATGGTAGAGTGGAAGGACACATAGCATACACATTAGAACTAGGTGAGTTTTTACTGGGTGGACATTGTGATATTTTATCTTTAAGTCTGAAACCCCTGCCTTAACACTTGAGCTAAAACAGCCAATGTTTGACTTGTAAGCACTGGTGAAAAAGTCCTGACTCCTCCGTCCACGAGCTGTATTGCACTTTTTTTGGTGCACTTAGGCCTATACTGAAATCGCAAATCACCAGGAAGTCTTTCTTTTTAAAAAAATGTGTAATGGAGTTGCATTATCCGAGTCTTTAGTACTAATTTGATGTAAAGATTTGCACTTTAATTGCAGAACCTGGGAAGATCAGATCTGGCTTTAAATGCCTCAAATTAATAACCTGTAACCTTGTTCTGACTACCTTAAAATTTGAAATTAAACAGGAAATTATACATCATCAGAATTAGTACTTTTTTTGTATATGTTGATGAAACATACTTTACTTCACTGTCTGAAAGTGCATTTCTTTTGGCTCCATGATTGTACACATGGTTATGTTTTAGCTCAACAGATGCCCATAAAGTGTTTCAAAAACATGTCCTTCGCTTGTGTTTTCTTTAGCCAGGCCGCCTGTGTGTGTAGTTTTTTTTTTCATTCTGGTTTTTAAAAAAATGTTTGATTCACCGCAGTGTTTTTGCTGTGAAACAACAGATCTTAGGGACAAAACAAGAGTACAATTTAAAGCTTGTGAGGTTGGGTTTTTTTTTGTATTTTGTTATGTGCATACATAAAAATAAACACTGGATTTTCTTTAACTATACCTTTTGTGTGTATCCTTTAAGCTGTTGGGGGGAATTGTGTAACTGCATTGTTATATTTCTTTCTTCAACAGGTACAATAGACTGTTCATGTATTTTCTTGCACAATAACTCAATTTACACCCAGGAGCAGTAAATTACAGGCTTCAACAATCATCGTCTGTATGTTTGTATTTATGGTTTTGTTGTCTTCGATCCTCACAATCTGCCAGTTGAAACCAAAACTCAAAAGTTATAATTAAAACCATTTTGACTTTAACTGTGAAAAGCCAAACAAAGAAGACATTTTCTGTTAGTATTTCCAAACTTTATTGCAGTCTCCTCAAAACAGTCTGATATGGAGGGAGTAAGTGCTTTCACAAGACAGAGGTCAACAGCAACACCTGTGATATTACCACGCAGACGACCTGCAAAAAAAAAATGTAATACAAAATAATGTGTATAAAACAGAAAAATAATTGGGGGATTGGTTGAAAGAGTATGCTTCAATGGATTGGTTCTTTTTGTAGTGTTACTGTATGGAAGTGCATTGCATTCACTGAATAAATCCAAAAATCGACACATTATCTCGTAATTACAAGATAAGATCTCGTAGTTATGACATCAGGATCTCGTAATTAAGAGATAAGATATCGTAGTTATGACATCAGGATCTCATAATTACAAGATAAGATCTCGTAGTTAAGAGATTACGTCTCGTAGTTATGACATCAGGATCTGGTAATTACAAGGTAAGATCTCGTAGTTATGACATCAGGATCTCATAATTAAGAGATTACGTCTCGTAGTTATGACATCAGGATCTCGTAATTGCGAGATAGGAACCTGCAATTACAACACAAAATCTCGTACTTATGACGTAAGATCTCGTAATTATGAGATCCTGGTGTCGTACTACAATAAGGCCTTTCGCTGATACTGTAATAACGTTAACGTTAGCTGATTTGTAAAGTGAGTCCACCAAGAAACACAAGGATGGTACTTCTGGTCAAAGTTTTTCACATTAAAAGCATTATATCTGTACAAATCAGCTAACGTTAACGTTAGGCCTTATCGTAGTACATCAGGATCTCGTAATAACAAGATCTTATCTTGTAATTATGAGATAAGGTGTCAGTTTTTTCATTTATTCATGAATGCAATGTGCTTCCATATTATTGTACCCAAGGTATGAACCGGTTCTGACACCCATCTACATTCATTTATCTCATAGGGTTTTTTTTTTTTTTTTTTTTCCCTTCAGTATTGCAATATATACAGTACAACTTGATGTGTTGACTGAGGAATCAGGCTCATTATTTCTTTTATAAAAATTTAAAAATTCTTGATAAGAACCAAACAATTTAGTCACAATACATTTAGTATATTTGTACATTTGGCCCCCATTTGTCTCCACACTGAAGGCCATGTGGACTGATCTACAATCCATTCAAACCATAGATTTAACTTTTTAAAATAACTACTATCAAACCCTTACTAAGGGTCTACATAGGCAAACTTAATGTTGTATGTGACTTGGTGTCCGTTGTCCCACGCATACAAAATCCCCTCTTTGGGATTGTAGTCAATCTGCGTGGTGTAGGTGTAGTTGTTGGTGAAAGGCATCCTGGGAATCATCTGAGTGTTTGTGTGTGTGTCAAAGGCATATTCCAGGTTAGCGTCCCTTTTGTTGTAGCTGTCAACAGCGTACAGGACGCCGCACACAACGAAGCAGTTCCCATAGTGGTTCCTCCTGAGCCCGGTTCTCCAGGTGGTCTCCCTCTGCATGCTGAGGTCTGAAGGGTTCAGTCGACTCAGAACAACCACTTCCTGTAAGAAGCCCTCATCGTCCAGTGCCGGGTAGATGATCCACAGGCCGCTCTCGTCTACGGCAAAGTCGACCTCTGAGTGTCTGCGCCACTCCCACAGTGACGATGACTCTTCAAGCAGAGCGTCGTGCAGCATGGTCCAGGCTGCCACGTAACGCCGACGCAGGTCAAACTTGATGATGTCCCGGGAGAGGGCGCGGTTGTAGAAGAAAGCCCCATCGTACACCACATGGCCTGTGCCGATCCAGTTGTATGGAAGCTTGTATGAGTTGGTGAACCGGCCTAGAAAGGATAAAAAGAAGGGAGAAGCATGAGATTCATCAAAGCAAAAAGAAAACACAAAGTGAAGTAGTTACAGCTTTGTCTGCTGGCACTTACCTTGTTTGAAAACCTCCAGGTTGCGGAACTCTAGGAGGTTATTTCCGTAGTAGGAGTTAGTGACATAAATTTTGTCATTATCAGACTTTGGATCCTTCATCCACGCTCCCTCGTTCTTGCCATAGGTGTTGTGAGTTATGGGCTCTGAGATTGTTGCCAAAGTGTCCTTACACTCTCCTGTGGAAGAGTCGGAGAGCCATGAGTAAGGATTTAGAGGCAGTTTAACATTATCCAGACCTACGTCAAAGAGTCTGAAAATAATTAGAGGCTTTTATATTAACCAGCTTGAATCACGGAATAGTTGAGGTTGCAAAACAGAACTGAGCATTGAATTACAAGAGATTCACAAAACAATATCAATATAATAGATTTCTAAATGACATCTACCACAACAATATGAGACGTTTTAAGGCTTGATAGGGGTACTTTGTAGTCTTTCAAAGACAGCAAATGTTAACAAGGGAATTTACAGGTTTTTTTGCCAATATCTTTGCTGTAAAGCTGTTTTAAGAACTTAATAAGATTTTTTCTTAGCCACTCTGGCAGCGTGGCTCTTGGGATGGCGATGCTGGTTGGACGCTTGTTCAAGTGGTCAACCACTCTGGGCCACTTCCAGAGTCTCAGGGCCCCAAAATCAGATCGGCCGAGTCAATGGTCTCTTTTAAATCCCTTATTAAAACATACTTTTATCGGAGAGCCTTTTCGGATTTTACTTGAGTTTTAAGTTCATTTAGACTGTTCTATATTTCCTCAGTCTTCATACACTAAAGTGTTTTTATGAGTTCTTTTAAAAGTTGTTGTTCTCATGTCTTGTTTGTTTTAATTATTGACATGTAAAGCACTTTGTAACTCTGTTTTGAAAAGCACTTTATAAATAAAGATTATCATTAGTTGATGGATGGACATGGAATTTTGTTCAGACATTAATGGTCCCCAGAAGATGAAGCCTGCTCACTTTGGTGATCCCCTGACTTTTCCTCTGGCACCACCATGAAGCTGTTACTTGATTTTTTAGAGATATGTCTGTATGGACTGCCATGAAATTTGGTACAGATATCCATGATGCCAGGAATAAAATACATATATATAATAAAATTACAAATAGCATCGTCAGGTCAACTTTTTAAATTATCCAATACTTTGGTTCCATCCGGGGACATACCATCTACCTTAGCTGTATTTAGGGCTGATTAGTGTGCTAACATCCATGCTAACACACTAAACTAAGATGGTAAACATGGTAAACAATGTACACCATCATGCTAGCATTGTGACCCTTTGAAACCTGAGCAAACTGGCTTGATTTCTTTCAGAAACATGGGGAAAAAGGCAATGAGCAACACAAGAAGAAATGACCCAAATAAATTCCAAGAAATTAGTAAAAAGTGAAAATTCAAAACAAGAAAATTAGTTAAAAAAAATCTTAAAACAAACAAGCAAGAAAATTACATGGAAAACCTGCTTAAAAATTATAACAGTTTTTTTTTTTTACTTTTTTTTTTTTACAATAATCAAATATGTAATAATCATAATTATTTTTCTATTTCTTTTTTTCCCTTTGTTTTTAATTTTTAAAATCATTCATCATCTAAATCTATTATTTTCTTGCAATTTGTGGGACATTCTTACCAAGTTGCCCATTGCTTTTTTCCCCATGTTCTTGAAAGCAATCGCACCAATATGCTCAGGGTTCAAAGGTTTAAATATTTGCGAAAGGCATCTGAAAGCAGCACAACAAAAGTGATGTCGCTCAAGGTTTCAATTAATAGCCAAGATTGTTAATATTAAAACTGACATCTGACACAAAAACTCAACTTACCAGGTTTTTTTGGGAGAAATTCCTCCTGCCTCTGCATTGGCTCGTCTAACTCTGGGTCTCCCTCCTCCCCCTCTTCCTCCTCCCAGACGATTTTGTATTTCTTTTTGATTCGAGTAGCTGGCCTGGTAGTCGTGGTTGTAGTGGTGGTGGTAGTGGTTGTTGTTGTGGTGGTGGTGGCAGCTGAAGAAGAGGTAGTCACAGGTGTGGTGAAAGGTGGAGAAGTGTGGGGAGACAAAGTGGTCACTCTCTGTGTGGTAGGAGGTAAAGTCGAGCCTGAAGTGTAGGTGGTTTCTTTTTCTGGTGTTGTGGTAGCAGCCTGCGTGGAGGTAACTGGTGTGGAAGCTGTTGTTGGCTGTACTGGTGCTGAGGTCACAGCAGCATGAGTCGTGACGGTCGTAGTGGAAGTCGGACTGGTAGTTAAAGCCTCTGTGGTTGGGTTTGGTGCATGGGTGCTTGAATGTGCTGCGGTGCTAGGTATGGTTTGCATTTGGGCGTTCACCTCCTGGGCAGAGGTTTCCATCATGGTGGTTGGTGTAGTTCCTGTTGTGAATGCTGGTGGGACGTCTTTTGTGGTTGTATTTTTGGACAGTTGGGTCGTGTTCATTGAAGTTTTGGTTGTGATGCTTACAGAAGTGTCCACTGGTTCAGTCATTGTGAAAGGGGTCGGCCGCTGAGTCGTCACAGCAGAGACTCTTTGAGTAGTCTGAGGTGGGGTGTCTGTGATGTTTTTTTGTGTGGTAGAGGATGGTCCAAATGTGACGCTTCTCGTTGTGGATGCATCGCCCTGTACATCTGTAGACACATCCACTGATGTGGTTCCAACAGCACTGATGAACTCATTATGCGTCTCTGAGGCGGGCTCAGCTTCTTTCCTTTCTGTTGATTGGCTGGTCTTCATGGAGCTGTAAAAAGTCGTCTTTGGTCGAAATGATCTCGGTCCTGCTCTCATCCTGGGGCGAGGGGCTCTGTGTTGTAGAAGATTCTCCTCAATGAAGAGGTTAACTGGGCCATCACCACTGAATCCATGATACTCAAAAACTAAAAAAAGGGAAAGAATATTTGGTCAAATAATCTGAGTGCCTTTAGAAAATAGGAAATATTTTTTAAGTACCATCAAAATTCTCAGTTTCCATCATCTAAACTCACAAATTACAGCACACACAAACAGAAGAAGCCACAGGATTGAGCCCATTTCTAACTGTACATGGTTGCAGTGTCCACAGCAGCTGACGGAGCAGCTGACAGCTGGCAGGCAGTTCAGATAAGCACTAAGCTTTTGTGCTTTTATCCTCTGACATCAAGTAATGTAATGTGATTATTCATCCAAACCACTTCTGCTGTCTCATGCTTAGCAGATGTGGACATGAAAGGAAAAGTTATATTTACACTTCATAGCTGTAAATGGGATCATCACTTGATTAACACACTACTGTAATAACTGTGTTTTTTTTCTTTGCTTTTAACCCACACCCTTAAAGCTGACTAAAAGCTTTGCACTCACAGTTCTCTCCAGGCTCTCCGTCATCGGCCACCATCGGATCTGGCTCAGATTTATAAAAAGTCATTCCTCTGATGATCATTCCTTTGGGACCGGTCTTCGACACCTGAGAGGCCTCCTTGTTGACCACGTTTTTGAGAGTCACCTGAGGTTTGACCTCAATGATCTGAGCAGAACCATCTGTCGGTAGGAAGGATGGATTTTCCCCAATAAACAGCTCCTCATACTTTTCCTGTTAGTGGACAGATGGACACATAGAACTTCTATGAGTGCAAAACATAAACCATGTGATAGGATGAGACATCCGTTTGATTACACACTGGGCTGATACAGACAGGTATTTTACTACAGAATTCAGTGTCACGTGAGAGTTTGAATGGTGTTTCAGATGCACATTCATCCTGCCAAGAAATACATTCTGGAGTTTGACCTCATTAAGTGGCAAGAATACCAGATAAAATACTTAAAACATGACTAGTGTGTCACAATTAAACATATACATGATGAACCTTTTTGGCGAATAACAGAATTTACACAACCACTGCACTGGTGGACATCATCCATCCATCCATCCATCCATCCATCCATCCATTTTCATTTGCTTATCCAGGGCTGGGTTGTGAGGGCAGCAGGCCAAGCAAAGCACCCCAGACGTCCCTCTCCCCAGCAACGCTTTCCAGCTCCTCCTGGAGAACCCCAAGGCGTTCCCAGGCCAGATGGGACATGTAGTCCCTCCAGCATGTACTGGGTCTACCCTGGGGCCTCCTACCAGTGGGATGTGCCTGGAACATCACCAACAAGAGGCGCCCAGGAGGCATCCTGATCAGATGCCCAAACCACCTCAACTGACCCCTTTTGACATGAAGGAGCAGCGGCTCTACTCCGAGCTCCCTCTGGATGTCCGAGCTCCATCCCTATCTCTAAGGCTGAGCCCAGCCACGCCACGGAGGAACTCATTTTGGCTGCTTGTATCCGTGATCTCATTCTTTCGGTCACTACCCAGAGCACATGACCATAGGTGAGGGTGGGGACTTAGATCGACCAGTAAATTGAAAGATTTGCAGTGCCTACATCGCTGCAGATGCCGCACCAAATCAGACAAAGCCATCAGACAAACCTCATTTTTGGAAAACTAAGACAAACGAAGTAAAATGCTTTTACTTTCTTTGTTTGGTGAGTTTCTGGGTACACCGTGACATCACTTAAACAAACAGGGCAAGAAACAAGCAGTCAAACAGTCAGATGGACAGTAAACAAACCAACAGTTACGTCAGATTATGTAAACCACTTTATTTGGAGGTAAATTAGCACCCCCAAAATGTAGGTAATAATTTCTTATTGCAGTGTGCACAACTGTGGCAACAACAGTGGGCCAAAGCTGAACCAGGGAGTCAGTCTGTAAAGTGTGACTCATGTTTAAAATATTACATTTTGGGTAATACTTGTACCATTTACCTTCATTTTCTCCTCCAAATAAGCTTGGTTAACGCAGGATTTGTTTATAACAGCAGCCACAGCCACATTCACAGATCTTGGTGAGTGGTGACTGCGACCAAAACTACAAAGGTTGACCCCAGTTGCAAAAGTATCATTTTAGTTTCAGGTTTCATTGATTTATGCTTCTTAGTGTTCTTGTGAAACATACTAAACTTGTGAATCACTTGCATGTGAAGCCCAGGTCCACCCAACACTGCTGGACAGGCTCTCCGGTTCACATTAAAGCTGTCATGGATCAGGCCCCAGTGGTACAGTCACTGGTCTGAGGTCTGCTGTTGTCCACTGGCTCTGCCAAACCTTCCAATTACCTCAATAATTCTTTTACACATTTTTGGTCCTTAATCATGGACACAATAATTTTATGAGAGAGTTTGTGGAAAGAACACATAATTGTTCCTTTTGTTTTGAAGGTATGCAAAGACTTAATAATGATTTCACAGTCTGAGCAGCAACATGTGAATCCAATCACTTCAGTGATACTTCTTTCTTTGCTGGATTCAGTGAAGTCGCAGCCTTCATGACGACTTTAAATGCAGAATACTGTTTATCAGGATTTGTCCAATGGATGTGACACAAGATAGAATCATAATGTCTCACCATGGATGCGTTTATCAATGTTTTTGGGATGCTACAAATTCATTAAAGACTTACATCATAGCAATTTACAACACACTGGTGTAATTTAATATGTGTGAGATTTACAAGCAGTGGTAGCACTTTAGTTTACAGCACAATATTTACTTCGTATTTAGATCATTCTGGTGGAATCACTGAAAACCAAAGTGAAGCAAAAGCGACTGATTAGATAAGAGCTACTCATACAGCAAAGAACAAGGAGTCCAAGCTGTATATAGTTACAGGTTGTTAGCTATTATTACAGCATATTAACATATAAATACTGGATTCATTCAATCATTCATTTCTGTAACCGCTTATCCTGTTGGAGGTCGCGGGGGGGCTGGAACCTATCCCAGCTGTCATTGGGCGAGAGGCAGGGTACACCCTGGACAGGTCGCCAGACTATCACAGGGCTGACACATAGAGACAGACAACCATTCACACTCACATTCACACCTACGGACAATTTAGAGTGTCCAAATTTATGTCTATGGATTGTGGGAGGAAGCTGACATGGGGAGAACATGCAAACTCCACACACAAGGGCTCCCCCACCCTGGGTTCGAACCAGGAACCCTCTTGCTGTGAGGTGACAATACTAACCACTGCATTACTCATGTGTGGTACAAAGCAGTTACATAATTATCTGGTAAATACTAGGGATTGCTGTATATTTGTTACCTTATATAATAACACTAGCTGAGTAATGTTCTTTGCATGACAGTCATTTTATAACAGACCTGTTACAACTTTAATTTTGGGTGCTAACTACCATTTAAAGCAGGAATAACAAAGGAATACTTATAATTTTACAGTGTCAATTAAAGGTAGTTGCACTTTTGCATCAATAATTATCTCGTAAATACAAAGTAAATACTACACTCACAGTATGTGTTATGTCATAACCCTATGGATACATAATAATAGTTAAGTAGTGACTACTGTTATTGTGGTACAACAGAGTAAAGAACTCCTCATACTACAGACTGCCATCCATAGCTTAGCCTCTTTCTTTCAGTGACCCCATCTGTTGACCCTGTGATATCAAGATGTCACTCACATGTGGGTCTTGATACACCGCAGCCCCGTTGAGTCTCTTCTGGTCCTCATGTCGGGATGGAGGAGAGGTGGGTGGGCTTTCAGTCGCATCCACCTGGATCGGAGGGCTCTCCTGGGGCCTCACCTCATCCTTGGTGTGGTTCAGAGACACTGCCTTCATGCAGCCGTGGACAAAACGAGATATTAACAGAAAGTACTGTGCATGTTTTGATGGAAAAAAAGCTGCAATCATCGGCAGTCATAATCACTAACAGAGGGAAAAAGTTCCAGTGGAGCGCCTCTGATCTTGAGTCATCATGAGGTCTTTTCTTGCAGCAGACATTTTGACTTTCTATTCAAGTGTCAAGATAAGTCAAGACAGTGTGACAGCAAGTCAGAATGTACAATACCAGGATCCTGAAACTTGAGCAGTGATAAGGAGTTTAACCATCAGTCATTTAATCACTTACACCTGTGCTTTTATTATTGTGACATGTCAAAATGTCTTCTGTGAAAATTCCCAGAACGCACTTCAATAAAACGGTTAGTGACGTCACTACACTTCCACTGCTACAACTGACCTTCACATGTCATGTAGAAGACAGACGCAGCTGAAACTAGTAAAATTATTAATGGATATGCTTGATTTATCTGCAGCTGCCTTTATCATGCCAAGACAAGTTTGTGACAAGGGGCATTTCAGAAGCCCTGACAATTTGTACATTGCCGCTTTCTTAACATCTGGCAGGTACAGTATGTTGTATGTGACTCCACAGTATGATTAAGTGCACTGAATTGTGCCACAGGCTAAATCACTCTGTCATTCAGTACCAATAGAGCACAGGAGCACATACAAAAGACTTGAGGGTTTGGACCAAGTTTGACTGAGGCAGCTCAAGTTTCGGGCAGCTGCTGTTTCTAGTTGTGAGAAAAAAACCCTTTTGATTTTGATTTTTTTTTTTTTTTAATTCAACACTCACATAATAGTGACTCAGTAGCTAATAACAGAGTTTGTTGCACCTGTTTGGGCGGAACAACTTTATATTTTATGATGTTTATGATTCATTTAAGTCCAGAGAGTTTGGTGGCTTCTGATCTCATTATCTTAAATTGCAGATACATAGCCTACTGTGAAATTAAAGGCATTTAATTTATACTGACACAAGTTTTAGTTAACTAAAAATACAGTTCTACATAATATTTTAATTTATTTAGTAAAATTCTAAAGTAATTTACTAGTGTACCACAGGGGGAAAAAAGACTGGATGATGTATTTTGTTGGTTCATTATAATCAGTTCAGTCAACATAAGGGTTCAGTACTCTGGCAGATAAACTTCCACGTGTGATGGAAAGCCCTGTGCGCTCCTTCCAGGTCCAGCCCCTAATAAATCTGAAAACTGGCCCAAAGGGTGTGTTTTATTGGACCGTCTGAATCCAGAAGCCACCAGTATAAAGACACCTGCTGCCACCACTTTGTGCTTATGTCACACCAACATATTTGCATTAATCTAACACACACACACACACACACACACACACACACACACACACTCACAAAAAAGTTCAGTATGTCTGTACCTTTTCAATGTTATCCATGCGATCCAGCAGCTTATTGGTAACGGAGTGCAACTTCAGTAGATCCATGCCATAGAAGGAGCCCTCCAGCAGCTCCAGGATGGTGGAGAGCTAAAATGATCAAATGGATTCCGTCAGAAGGGTTTATCAATTCAAGACATCCGTAGAGCAGGTCTATCCCCAGCCCATCCAAACTCTGAGTCCTTGCATATGGATAATGTGGGGCTATCCTTTCCTGAATCTGATAATGCGTGATATCCATACCCCCAGTGACCCAGGCCTCTCTAGATATTAACAGGAGGGCATCACAGCAGCCTCCAGCCTACTGGCGCTGGAGCATGGGGACTTAGGTGTATTGGAGGATCTAGTATGCATGGACGACACTTCACCTTGACATTCTCTTTTCCAGCTTCTCTAAGTTTTTTCAGCCTGAACTCTCCCTCACACGGGTTGACCGCTGACGGAGGAGCGATGCAGGCGCACTTGCACTCTGGTCCAGATGTGATAGTCTCCACAGTGTAGAAGTCCTGCGCGGTGGCGCTCCCTTCTTCTATCCGCCGGCAGGCGCTCCTGCTCAGGGGTCTGACAACACATTTACACCGACAGTCAGAGCCTTCCGAGAGGGCTTTCACTTTGTCATAATCACCCAGCAGCTACAAAGAGAAGAGGACGGAAGTATTTTGCAACGAATTTTTACGCACGAAATGATGAAATGTCCATAAAACACATGTAGTAAAGAAAAAAGACATCTCCTCCTACCTTAGAGAGGATGCTCTCCTGGCCATCTATCTCCTCCTGCAGCCTGTCATTTTCTTCTGCCTCGCTCTCAAATTCTGACCTGGGATCTGCTACCCAGGTCTTTGGCGCTGCAAAGCCCCGTGGTAAAAACGCACAGCACATGGCGAGGACAATGCATAACTTATACATGTTGTGAGGCTCACAGAGCGCCGAGAAGAAAAATAATGTTGCAATAATACAAGCAGGCACAGCCTGTCACAAATTAATTTAGCTGCCAAGAAAATGTCATAGCCTGCTTCTGGCTCCAGAATCAGAGAGGTGTATCCACAAGAGGCATCAGATAGCGAGGCTAAGCTTTATGGCGCGATGTCATCTTGTTCATTGTCACAGTGAAGGCAGGCTAATTTAGAGTGCAGAGAAACTGTGCACTGTGTGAGAGAGCATCCGGTATCTGCAGCTGGAGCAGCGCTGACAGGAGGCGGACCTGATCACACTGGCGAGGAGGAGTTGAACTGCTTCAAATGACTCCTCAAACATGATGTGCAGCAAAATCATCATGAGTAACAAATAAAAAAAACATTAAAAGCTACAGCCTAATTTGATTTTTCTTTGAGATTCCACTTGCACTTTATGGATCCAAAGCATATTTCCACTTTAAATCCAAAGTAGCCTGTTGCATGTTGATTTGATGCCTCTCAGCAGCCCGGTTTCAGCTGTGGGTTTGCTGCCCTCTAGCGACAACAGTGTTCACTACAATGACAGCAAATACATTTGAATTTACATGTTTATTTGTACTTTAAGGCACATTCAATGTATGCACTTATTTCCATCAAACCCCTGCCTGTAGTGTGATATATGTATGTAAAAAGGAACACAGGAAATTCTGTTAAGGCATGTGGTGCCGTGTGGGTTTGAGAATCGCAGAAAAGACATTTGTCATAAAAGTAATAAACCCTGTGCTGTGAAACCAAAAGAAAAGCTGTCTTGTTGCTCTGTGATGTAAAACCCACAATGCCCCGAGTCGCATCACTTTACATCTTGCAGTTATCCACAATTACATTTGATCAGGGTGCTTCAACAGTAAAGAACCATGGGCAAAGTTTTTTCATAATGACAAGTTATTATCAACAAATTTTTTTTTTTTTTTCAAACATCCCATAGCATAATCTTAAATGAATACCTCACCCCCCAAATGACCATTTGTATATCAGCTACTCAGCCCATGTTATGTTGAATTTGTGAGGAAAACTTAGTAGCTCGGACTTTGTTGAAGCTGAACTAACCCTTTAAAACAGTGGTTCCAACCGGTGCCAGCCACGGGATCCAGATTTCTCCGAAGTCATTAGTTCATGGTCCACACAGTTTAATCTATTCAGCGTCATACTGGCATCTGGCCATGTCTGCAAGCTACTCTGCTGTCTCTGTCAAGTAGCTGTCCATTAGTCAATCAGCTTACAGCAGGAAACAACATTTCAAAATAAAATCTCTGCGCTTGAAATTCACTGTAAGTCAGAATAAAGTGTGTTTTATATAAACTTGATACTTGCATGAGTCACTTGCAGTCCACTCAGAATGGACCCACGACCCACTTTTGGACCTGGACCCACCAGCTGGGAAACACAGCCAAGATTATGTTTTGTTTTTGGAGTCTGGCTTTGACGAGAGCACAGATAAGTTTGACTTCAGTTTTAAATAGTACGGTTTTAGTGAAAATGCATGTGTTAAGGAAGCAGTGAGCACATGACTGGATGAATGAGACTTGGATTATACTGCACAAGTTGTGTGAGAGTTTGCAAATTGATGTTTTAATATAGTTTTACTGTTGTTTAATGTAGCCCTAGAATTTTCTCCAGTTTTAGATTCTGTTCCCTAATAAGGCATGAAAGAAAAGCAAAGTTTTCTTCACAAATTCAGTGTAACTTGAGGGGAGAATCTGATGTACAAATAGTCTTATGAGGGGTGAAGTGTTCCTTTAAAAGTCTAATTTCTACATGATACCTTCATATGCAGAGAGCTTCATTACAGTGTATGTAAGAAACCTTTGGGTCTTTAAAAACCACTGCTACAAGCCCCAGAATGACTTAAGTCACCAAATAAAAAATCTGATAGACAGCCAGTAGTTTAGTGCTTAAGCTAAAAGTTCAACAGTGATTATTTATGTCCCCGAGCACCCTTCATGTTCTATCCTTCCGTCTGCTGCCACAGGCAGGATGAGGTGAGAAATACGACTCCACAGTCCACCGTACTTGTCAATGTCCATCTTGTCAAAAGATACTGGATATTCATCAGAGAGGAACTTCTTCTGAAGATGGTCATCCACCATCTCCTCCACAGTACTCAAACGAGTCTCGGCAGGAATCTCCTCCTCCTCCCCCAGCAGTACTGTGAAGATCAGACAAGTTTTCTTGTAGGCAGCATTCTCATGGTCACAGTAGCGGTAAAAAATAAGGGTGGAGCCCGGAGGCAGCTCCTCGAAGCGGTTAATGACAGCCACAGGTTTGTCTCCTTCGAAAGCTCCCTGCAACTTGCTGTCGATGTCCAGTTTGACCTGGTCGCTGTCCTGGCTGGCTTTGCTGGCCCCATCGATGTGGAGGACGGAGGCATTGAGGGCAGAAGAGAAGGCTGAGGCCAGGCTCTGAGCCAGGCAGTGCAGTGTCTTCTCGGCTCTGTGGCCTGCAGTCAGGATCAGGCTGACTGGCTCTGTGGGCTGGGCTGTCTGGAGGTGCCTCAGCAGGTGAATCTTGCTCCTGTTCCAGAGCTCAGCACGCTGGTTAGGAAACTGAGTCTTAACTTTTTCCAGCTGCCTGAGGAAGATGTCTATTTGCCGCACGTCGTCCTTCTGAGGTGGAGACTCGGGTTGGAGGAGAGGTGACATCAGGATGGCAACTAATACCAGTACACCTGCTAGCAGGTACATACCATTTCCTATGGAGAGAAAGCACATGTGTTGTCTCAACCTGTATTTTATCAGTACTATATAATGCCCAGTTTACACTGACTCCTGATCACAAGACAGCAAGCTGCGTAGTGTGAACAGTATGGCGATCTGGCAACTTTGAACATCTGCAGTGTGAACTTAGCGTAAGTCATTTATGACTGTATATTAAGTAACACAACACCCAATGTTAGAGATCAGTCTTTTTAAATGACCATCACTGAGCCGCTTTGGTCATTTGATTAGCTGGTAACCACCATGACACATAAAAGAAACAACAGAAGACAAACCAGAATAAAAGAACAACATTACCTCCAAGAGCTCTCTGAACCACTGGAACTGCAGGTTCAGCATCAGCGGCCTCCTGAATGGTAGGACCAATTGTTTCAACACGTGTCTGTGCCTGTGGGAAGGATGTTCTCTCCTCTTCTTCCTCAGGAGCTACAACCTTCTCTGGACAGCTTCCATCTCCTGATCATTGGGAGAGAAAAACAGGTTAACACAAACTAATCTAAAGAGACACTCCAACCACTGGAAGCCACTTGTGCAGCTGCATGTTCGTGCTCCGTCACTGGCTTCCCACTACGGCTGTCAAAATGGGTCAAAAATAATGTTCATGTATGTTAGAGTATATTTAAATACCTATTCTTACACATTACGTCCATATGTGTGTGGATGGAGTAGGTGGATGTTGTTGTCATGGAAACGTAATGGCCCTCCTATTTCGCCTCCCCCAGGTCAACAACATTGGCTCTGTCAGCACTGTTTGTGCTGTTAGCACTGTTAGCTGCTAGCCACTGGCTCAGGCACCTCCATGCTGAGGGAAGCGTCTAATCCCGGCTCAGACTCTGAATCATAGATTGGTCTGAATGTGATACATCACCATCTTCAGTTTAATTTTACTGTATAAAGAACTACATTCAATGCTGAGTGAACTGTGCTGTGTGTACTGTTTATAGCTTCAAAAAGCATGTTCTTCTTTGTCCACAAAGGGGCACTCTTAGTTTCTTGTTATAGTATGGGGCACTGTTGGTTTTGCGGTTGCATGCATGCTGCTTAGGGGAAAGGTGACTGTGGTACTCTGAAGCTCAGTAGACCACTAAACTCCAGAGGTTGACAGCAACAGTAGTGTGTTTTTTTAACACAATAAAATAATAATTTTCATAATCTAATTTTCTACTTGTTTGTACTATTCGAATACATTTTTGAATTTTGAATAATTGTTGACAGCGCTACTTTTCCACCATTGGACACTACTTAAGACTGAAACTCGAAAAAAAATTCCAGTCATTGAAATTTCAGAAAAGTCACACTCACCCTCTCCAGCCTCAGCATTTGTGTTGTCAGTGTCTGGGATTTCTTTATCAGGTCCATCTACTCGGTCACTTCTGTCACCCAGGGTTGGTGAGCTGGTTGTTTCTGGTTCTTTCTCCTCCCTAGTGTGATGCCCTCCTGAAAACAATACAACAGTTTAACTTCCACAGCAGCTCAAGCATCACTGTCTCTACAGTTACATTTTAGATGGGATTTAAAAATTTCCAGTGCAAGAAGAGTTGCCTTTTTAATCTCACAGAATTAAAGGTTAGGTTTTTAAGTCCATCTTATAACAATACTAACATGCCCACATGTACATAGAAACAGTTGTTAGTCAAGGTAATTCTTCCTCCATTTCATACTAGAAATGGAGAGATCCCTTTCTAAAATGATTTCAGTGTAAGTGATCGGGGAGTGTTTGGAGTAAAAATGACTTCTCAAGTCTGGCTAAAGCTAAAACGAGGCTTCAGCAGTCTTGAGTTGGCCAAATTAAGAAAGTATCTTGCGTTTCCTTGCTGAGCTGCAGTGGAGGGATAGCAACACAGAGAGGGAATTTTGCACGAAAAAAGGGCACAACAGCATTATTCTACAATAGACTTGAAAACATTTGAACCTACGCTTTGACAGAAAACTGTGCGCTTGTACAAGACAAAAAGGAATTTCTACAACTGAGCAGTATTTGTGGTGTTGATGGCAACATTTCTATCCATTTTCATAGAGATGATATTTTACAGTGAATGCAATGACGTGATGGAAGCCTCATCTCATTGCACAGAACCAACACATCACACACACAACATAAAGTATGCAGTAAATCGACTTTAACACAACACAGTAAAGTGGGCCACGACCCAGTGAGAGAGACAAGTTACACAACTTTTACATTACTTGTAACTGCAACAAATGACGCATATAGACGTCTGAAGCAAGCTTTACAAATGTGAGTCGATATATGTGCCCTGGCTCTTTGACACAGGTGAAAACAATGAATAATAATGCGTGAATCAATTGTTATAACACTCAGATAGGAACACTCACTGGAAATCTTCTCAGCTGCCAAGTTCGGTTGCTCATTTCTTGGTTTCCCTGTGCTGTAATCACCATGACTTCTTTCATCAGCCTGGAGTGGGGTGCTGTTCTCCTTCGGCTTTGTGTCCTCATCTGGAGCTGAAGGTTCTTCTGTAGTAAACAGAAATCAAGTGTCATTGAAGTTAAGTCTCACTGATTGGTTGGCTACTGTTTGGTTTTCATTTTCAGAACCATCTGCTTTCTCATCAACACACCTTTTGCCTTACAAATTCATTTACAATAACATTATGTTGGTTTGGTGTGAAATTCCTTCTGTATGTTTCAATTGAATATGATTCCTTGCTGAGCTGCAGTGGAGAGACATTAACACAAACAGGGAATGCCTGAATCACCTCTTATACCACTTAGAAAGGAATAGCAACACTCACCAGAAATCTCAGCTGTCACGGTCGGTTGCTCATTTCTTGGTTTCTCTGTGCTATAATCACCATGACTTTCTTCATCAGCCTGAAGTGCGGGGCTGTTCTCCTTCACATTCAGCACTGTGTTCACATCTGGAGCTGAAGAGTCTTCTGTAGTAAAAACAGAAATTAAGTGTCATCTAAGCAGGGTTCCCACAGTCATGGAAAATCTGGAAAAGTCATGGAAGTTGTAAAATCTATAAAAGCTTTGGGGAAGTCATTGAATTTTGTTGTGTGTAATGAGGTTAACTGTTACAGTAATCTTCTGTGGATTACCTTACCTAGGATTTTGTTTACCATCACATACGTTTCTTTATTCTTTCCCTATGTTTGGTTTCTCCCTACGTGTATGCCAGCTAGCTTGAATTACGTTTGAACAGAGTTTGAATTTGATATTTTTAAGTAAAGCCAGGCAGGTGTGGCAAGAAAAATAATGTTGTCACAGTGTGATTTAGCATGTTGGGTCATGAATCCCAAAGCCATACCAATGCCCCACTACTACTTCTAAATTGTACTGCATTTTTGAGACTGTCCATTTGACATGGGCAGCTGAGGGTGTTCATTTGTGATTCAGAGGGCCACTATACACTTAAGTTTCATTCTAACTGCTCAGAAAATGACCTGGCTCTTTAACAAAGGTGGAAGCAATGAAAAGTAATGTCTCAATCAATTGTTATAACACTTAGACAGGAACAGGAACACTCACTGGAAATCTCCTCAGCTGTCATGTTGAGTTGCTCATTTCTTCGTTTCTCTGTGTTGTAATCACCATGACTTTCTTCATCAGCCTGAGACAGGGTGCTTTTCTCCTTAATGTTCAGCATCGTGTCCTCATCTGAAGGTGAGGATTCTTCTGTAGTAAAAACAGAAATCAAGTTAAGTCTGACAGACTAGCTAATATTTAATTTTTAACTTCTAAGACACTTAATTTTATAATTCACTCATGTGGTATATGCTGAGAACCATTTGCTTTCTCTTCAACATACCTTTGTCCTTACAAGTTCAATTACTCCACGTGGATTATTGTGGATGACGCATTACAAAATAGATAACAAGACTGACAAACTACTCTGAGAGCACTACTCTGGGTTAAGTGCAGGGACAAGAATAAACAGAACAAACAACAAATGTCTTTTTGGCCATGAATGTTTGTGTATGAAAGACTATTTGATAGAAATGAAACACTGACATAATGAAATGCTGGAAACCAAACACTGATATAATACTATATACTTGCTTTTAACATCATGCTGCTCCATGTCTTTACCACTGTCGTTGTTTGTCTCACTGCCCATGGGTGCAAATGATGCAGCTGAATCTTGTTGGGTGAGACAGAGGCCAAATTTAATTAGTACAGGCGATGCAGAAACACATTTGTTAAGACAGTGAATGGATTAATACTGGCCCTGCTTGCATATCTTACCATCTGAGAGCTGCTGCTTTAGATTCAGAGCAATATCAGTCTCCTTCTGTTTGCTCTCATCAAATGGTGAGACACGATCCATGTTTGTGGGCTGTGTTTCTTCTTCCTTGCCTTCTGATAAAAAGGTTGACATATATAATTTAAACCACTGCTGTAAATGTTTAGTGAATGTACTAGTCCAATATATATATGGACTTTGTTATTTGTGTTTTAGTACCTGCTTTGTGGTGGTGATCTGTGTCTTGCTCTGCCATGTCTTTGGATGGGGACACGTCACTCAGGAGGTGGTTCAAGGCTGCATGGACAGACTCTCGTCACATGGTCAAAGTCTCAAGTGATCTTAACCTGCTAATGTATCTTCTCTGTATAACAGTCTCAACTCCCCATGGTTTCAAATAACAGTGGTTTGAAACAAATAACATGCTAGGTCTGAGATTATTGAAGGTGTCAGCACATAACACAATAGCGCTAATTAACTTACTATTCAAACTCAAAGTTGGAAACAATGAATTGTCTGTTGACTGCCCTGAATAATATTTAGGAGCTAACCCACAGTTATATTTCCTGTGTGAGCAGACACTGTAGTAATTATTTAGCTAGTTAGTAACTAACGTTAGCGCTGCTAGCAAAACTCACTCAACAGGAACGACGGTAATGGAAATAAGTAACGTGTTTGTTGACGTTAGCTTACTAGCTAACGTGTTAACTGACAGACAAGTGACAGAGATGCTGGTAACAGTTAGCAACATAATGCATGGCTTTAGTCTGTAAGAACTACCTTCCTGTGACTTAAATAAAATACATATATGTTTAATAGTTACTTCTAATGAGCAGGTCTTACCCAACGCACCGTCGTTCACATCGCCGTGGAAGGTTGCCGGTTTAATGCTTCCTTATCGTATTCCTTAGCTTACGTTACGTGTGTCGCACTGACAGATCACCAGGCGGAACGTTCAGCGGCGTCCGTGTTTCCACCCGGGCGACTAAAAGTGATAGAACGTTTCCGGCGTCCTGTCACAAAATGGTTCCCCTACAGCTATAGGGAAGTCAGTAGCTTGTCTGTTTGTAGGCACGATGTTTCGTCGTATTGTTTGATTGATGTTTTTGGCATCTGTCGATTTTTAATCATAAATGGATTCCAGGGTTTCTGAAAAAGAGGCGTCTCGCCCGTTGAGACGATCAGCAAGGCATTCTTCCGGTAATGTTAAAGGTGAGCAAAGTGACTATGGCTAAATTAAATTAGCTTAGCTATTGTAGCCCTCGAAGCTAGCTGACTGAAGCTCACTCAGAGTTTAACGACAAAGCTCCTTCAGTTTCAGTTTTAACTTACTTTGGCTGATTTTATCCGTGTTGACTAGAAAATTACAAATGAGCAAATGCGATTTAACGTTACGTCCTTGAAGGAGTTCTTTGGCATTTTATTCATTATCAAAAGTTGATGACATCAAACCACCAACTTGATAACCGTTACGTCCCTCTGCTTCTGTCTCAGTATTGAGTTATGAACCGACCCCCAGGGGTCCCCTGAAGAGGACCAGAAAGAGGACAGAAAACCAAGCTCCTGCTGTAGCTGTCAATGGTTCCAGAGACGTGGAGGATGGCTCAGAGGATGAAGGTGGGCTGCTTAAAGGTACCATATTATTTTTATTTTCAGTTTCAAATTCATTTAGTTTTAAACTAGAAGTATTCATGCTTTAATGTTTAACAAATACTTTATTTTTCTATTGCTGTTTGCCTGAATATACCCGTATTGACCCCCTGTCGTAAAAACAACCTTTTAGCGGCTGTTTCTTTAAACCTATTTCCCCCCACATAAACCCAATCTGCTCTGACATGACAGTGTTTCAGAGTCTTCCACATCTGCGCTTTCAGTGTCTCTACAGTGTCACTGCAGCGATACTGTAGTGGCACCTTCTGTCTTTTTGTAACAAAGTTGTGACATCACAACTTCAAGGAAGCCCTTGTGGCTCATTTAAAGGCAAAGTTTCTGAATATTGACTGGGTGCATTTGTCTTGGATTGAGCGTGTTGAGACCTTTACATTGTTTATATACCATCTGTACTCGCTCTATATGGAAAAAAACACAAACCCTGGAAATCTGACTTTTTACAACATAGGACCGTTAAATTAACAGTATATACCTAGTTAACCCTCAGACTGTACTATTCAGGTGTAAAAATACTTTTTATCTCTCACTTAACAGAGTCCCCTAGCAAGAAGAGTCGGCTGAGGACTGGAGGAGCAGCGGGCGACAGTGGGGATGAGAATGACATGGAATCAGTTGGAGATTTGGAAGAAAATGAAGATCAGGAAATGGATTTTATACAGGATTCCTCTCATGGCACTGAGCAACCAGAAATATGCCAAGGTTAGGGTTGCAAGTAATTAATATTTTGGATATTGATTAGCGCCTTGCCCATTTTCTTTCTATCATTCATCTAATGAATTCTTAAAAAACTGTCAGTTGTCAGTTGTTCACAATATAGATGTATATCATTGAAAATTATATAAAACTCAAACAGGCAGCAAAGTCTCACACTTAAGAAGATGTAATAGCCGAATGTGGCTTTTTTGCTTGACAAATGGCTTATAAGATTAACTGGTTATCAAAATTGTTGATACATGTTTGCATGATCGACTAACCAGTTAATTGCCTTATTGTTTCAGCACGAGCCAAAATGTTATCAGTGATGTGTGTGTCCACCAAAGCAGATGTTATTAAATGAATGATTACTTAGCTAATAATTATCTATGCATGCAAGTGCTTTCTAATGTGGCATCTCTGTGTAGTCTGATCATTTAACTGTGAGTTAACTTATCTTTGATTGATTTGATTTCTTGCTGCCATTAGATCTGATCACAGGCAGTTTAGTGATTTTATTTAAATCAAGGTTTTCCCTCTGTATAAATCAGGCGCCCTTGGAGATGTGAATTTATCCCCACGAGTCGTCCTCGGTGAGTGCTGCAGACCCCGTCATGCTGTAAATGAAGATGCAGACTGGATGAAAACAGCGAGAGGTAGGAGAAGGCTCTATCTTTTGTCTGCATGGGAGTGATTACATCAAGAGAGGATAACACAGTTGTTCTAATCTGGCTTGCTTGTTTTCAGTAAAACCATCAACAAAAGGACCAGTAGCCCCCACCAAGACTGCCACACAAATCAGACCTCCGGCAAACAGACATGACATGCCGATCCCTAAGGTCACCAGCATGGCTGACTACAAGAAAACAATGGAGGCCAAAGCCAGGAGCACTGGTATTGTTTTTTCATTTTGGCAGATTTCTAGCGCCCCCACTTTTGTCAAGAAAATTGGTCTGGGCATCTTCACCCTCAGTGGATTTACATTTCTAAAAACGATCAGATTTTTACATCAGTAAATTCTGCCTCACTTTTAGGTATACCGTCAGTTAACCACTATGTCCGTGGTGCGTATCCAGCCTCGGAGAAACCCTACACAACGCGACAACGTGTGAATAACATTCCAACAGAAAAAGAAACTGTTAAGCCCAAAAAACAAGGTATTCCAGCTTCAACTTAATAATTCAACAACATCTAATATAGCTGTGACGTGTTTGACATTGATTTAATGAGATTTTTTTCTTTTGCAAGGGGTAAAGAAAACGCCAGTTACAAAGACAAGCTCTGGGTATTCCTGTAGAGGTAAGCTATAGTATTTTAATTACATTATCTTTGAACCCAAAGATGCTTATTCTACATGTGTTGCAATTCTACATTTGAATATGGCCTTGTGTCTTTCCAGGAGTCATATGGTGTTTATGGCGTTTGATTCTCCTGGTGCTGTTCTGTTCTGCCGTGTTGCTGGCATACAAGATAAAAAAGACTGCAGACAGTAGAAAGTTTCCATCCGGGGCTGTAAAATCAGAAAGGTTTGCAGATCAGTTGTCTCTTCTTGAGGCCCAGTTCCCAAATCAGCGGCCTGTTTTGTGGAAGAGGAGCAAGATCCACCTGGAGAAGCACCTCCAGACAGCCCAGCCCACAGAGCCAGTCAGTCTGATCTTTACTGCAGGGCAGAGGGCTGAGAGGACACTGCACTGCCTGGCTCGGGGGCTGGCCTCCTCCTTCTCCGCTGCCCTCAATGCCTCTGTCCTCCACATCGATGGAGCCAGTAAAGCCAGCCAGGGCAGCGATGAGGTGAAGCTGGACATCGACAGCCAGTTGCGAGCGGCTTTTGACGGTGACAAACCCGTGGCCGTTATTCATCGCTTCGAAGAGCTGCCTCCGGGCTCCACCCTCATTTTTTATCGCTACTGTGACCACGAGAACGCCGCATACAAGCGGGTGTTTTTGTTGTTTACTGTGCTACTTCCTCAAGATGAGGTCAAGGTTGATCAGAATCTGAAGCAAGTGGAGGAGTTGGTGCAAGACTATCTCAAGAAAAGGCTGGTGGACTCCAGCAGTCAGATTGCCTTCAATGAGATGGACATTGACAAGTTTGGTGGACTGTGGAGCCGCATCTCCCATCTTATTTTACCTGTGGTGTTTGAGAAGGAAGTAGAGCAGAAAGGATGCTGATGACATCAGAATACCACTTTGGACCAGCCTGATCCTGCTTGGGAAGAACATGTAAATATAACGTGTGTGTGCTGTTACATTTCACATGTAGACTTGAGTGAAAATGTTTGAAGGTTGTGTTAATCTCTCTCTGTCTGAGATGAGATTGTTCTCATGCTGCAGTCCGGTGTTGATGATTCAGTTTAACTGCTCACAAAATGTCCAGCACTGATGTTTTTTTTATACATGCATACATGTACAGGCTTTTGCATAAGGATGTCCCACCTTCATTCCACTTCCAAAGAAGGATATGAAATCCATGTTCTCATGGACATTTAGCATACGATCTATAGCTTAATTTGTTGTATCCTTGTTTTGTGTCATGAATCTGTATTGACAGCACTTTGTTCAACTGATTTTAACCCTTCTAAAAGGCTAAATAATTAGCATGGATTACACTGGCTCAAAATAAAACAAAAAAGTTTTGTTTTCTGACGACAGCTTTTGTTTTAGGTGTTCATGTTTCTTGGTCTGTATCAAACCTTGCAGACAACTGATGGCTTATATATTTCTGTTTAATGTCCCCATGGAGATGTGCTTCCCTTCATTTAATTCTCTGGTGTACACATTTGGATTTGCACTAAAGTTTGCTTTAACTATCCATCTTATCCAGAGTGCTGGCTTTTATGAGATATATTTTATAAATCTTTTATATTCTTTGTTTTTTTCCTGAATGTGTATATTTGTGTTGTCTTTCCTAGATTGGAATATTTTTGAATGCTTTGTATATATACAT